GTGGAGTCTGCTGCCCCCAGACCTATTTTGGATTCCACACTGGACTGATTATGTTAATACGTTGTGTCTTCTACTTCTGTTCCCAGTCTGTTATAGGGCACATTAAATCAGATGATATCAAATGCTATCTAACCACAACTTACATCTTTATATCTTTCACAATTACAGAAACAAAAAGGGTGAACCATTGGGGATCAGGGGATATGGAATAACATTTTACTATGCTGGGGACTTGGCTACATGACTGAGGTCTCATGGTCTCAAGGCCTGTGTAACCCTGCTTTAGGCACAGAAAAGTATACGGAAAACTGCATGTTTCTTAGTTGCCTAGAGAATTCTTGTAATCACAACATTCCTAATGCAAGATAACATCTGCTGAAGGCAATCTGAAGAATGCAGACATATTGATATGGAGGACTTGTTCTCCCTTTATTTGCTCTCCATTTACTACAGTTGCTGTTCCATGAAAAGTATATTATACCCTTCTCTATGCTTCTTGCTTGCTAATTAAAATGGATCAACCATGGAGATTAGTGTGCCAGTCCACTAGAGACAGATTCTTCCCAGTCCCCTTGCATCTTGAATATTATCTTTTGACTTTCTTTATTCCTTGCTGTTCCCCTCACAGGTACCCCAGGGTCTGATCAGCCCCTGGCAATGTATACATACCAATTCCCCACAGTGAACATAATTATTATTTAATGCAAAAATGTACAATAAAAACACATTTTAAAAAGACATCTGCTGTAATGTTTATTCCTTTTATTTTTAAAGGGGGAAAAATTAAACACAATGAAACAGACCAAAATAGGACATAAGACTGGCGAAAATGAAGAAGGTGGTTTAGGTCTTCAAAACCAGACATTATAGTAGTTATTAACAGCTGTCTTAGAGTCTCTCGTTCTTTTCAAAATAGCTGTCCATATTTTCATGTATATTGTGTTGTAATGTTTAAAAAGTGTAATACTTTGCATCTGAAGTGGATGTTTGATATTTTCACTTCTCCTTGTGCTTCTTTTTTTTCCTAGTCATACTTATAAACAAAGACAGGAAAATACAAGAGTAACCTAAAAAGCTTTTTCCAAATAGCTGTCTCCTTTCCCTGTTGATATTGATATAGGAGTGATATAGGACCTCCAGATGATATAAGAAAATGTAATTCTCATCCTGCTAGATGTTCAGTATGCTGTCTGTGTTCTCTAATTTGAATAACTAATTCTGTAGAACAATGAAGGTTAATAGTAGGAAATTTTTTTCCTACTTTTTAAAGAGAAAAACAGCTCCTGCCTTCAATAGTTTCCTACTATTAACTTCTGTTGTTCCACAGAATTAATTCTTTAAGTTTCATAGAGCAAAATCACAAAGATTTTGTGGGCACAAAATCATAAATTTTCATGTTCTGATTTACTGCACTAAAGCTAACCAAGTGTTATAGGATGATAGAGACTTCAGAACTATGAAATGTGGAGGGCAAGATCTATCTATACGTGCTGTTCGTTATCACGGTGCTGTTCTCTTAGCCTGGAACTTTTGCAGCCAGATGGTCCAAACTGCCCAAGACAAACAGATATATTCCACTCATGAACATGAACACAAATGTAGAAGGGAAAATAACAGCAATTACTCTGTGAAATACATCTGAAATTACAGATGAATTAAAGCCAGGTAATCTAAGAACAAAACAATAAATGCCTTTCAATGAGGAGCCACTATTCAGCTGTTGTCTTCTTTTTCTCTTTTCTTCTTTTTGGCATGGGGAATTGAACCTAGGGCCTTCCTCTGAGCTACATCTCCAGCCTTTTATTTTATTTTATTTTTTTTGCAACAAGGTCTCACTAAGTCACTAAACTGCCCAACTGGGCTTGAACTTTCTTTTTGTCTAAGCTTCCCAGAGTGTCGGGATTATAGTCATGTGCCACCGTGCCCAGTTAGTTTGTGGCTGCTCTATCATTCTCCAACTCTTTTTCATTGTTTGATTTTTAGTTGTTTTATTTTTTCAATAATGAATAAGTAGGACAGAAAAAAATGATAAATTTTAGTACAGTTTATCTTGTATACTTTAGCAAAGAATTTAATGATGAAAAAAGTTCAAAGTGTTTAAGGATGCAAAGATACGGATATTGCAAAATTCACTGTAGTAGAGAAGGGAGCAAAGTGAGACTACTATATTTGTTAATTTCTAATAATCAGGGAATAGTCATATTTATATTTAGCATAAAGCTTTTAGAGAAGATACATAAGAGACTGATGAAATTAGTTGCCCCTGAAGAGAGGAATGGGGGTGACAGGTAAGCAATGTAAAAAGGGTTTTTAGGCTGGAGAGTGTAGCTCAGTAGTAAAACACTAGTCTAGCATATACATGGCCCTAGACTTAATCCCAGCACTGCAAAAAAAGGTGAGAGGCTGTTTATTGGATACCTATATTTACTGAATTTAGAATTATGTGTTCATGTGACCTATTTTAAAAATAAATTTAAAACTTTAAAAGCCTTGGCTAAGAAGCAATTTAGAAATCTCAATCCTTTCTTCTGAGAGGCATTATGATATAATAGAAAGCATTGTTTTTTGGAGAGGGGAAAAAAAGACCTGGTTTTGAAACTTAGTCCACTATTTACCAGTTCTATGACCTTGGATAAGTTTTTAAAGTTAGTTGAATCTCACTTTTGGCTTTAATAACATCAGTGTAACAAAAGCTACTTTGTGAGGATCAGACATTACATAAAATTGCCTTGTGCTTACTGAATGGCAGCTATTATTCTGTGGCTTTCAATGATCTCTGCTATCCATTACCACCAATTATAAGTTGGACACTGATTAAAGGGAAAGTAGGTTATGAGGTTCAAGAGTCTTAATTTACACATCACTAACTACCTGAAAGAGAAAACAATCACTTTTTAAAAAAATGTATTCAGCTAATGTTTGCATCCTCAGAAGTCACCTTTTTTCAGGCTTCTAAAGAACTACTGCAAGAGATCAAATAATTCATGATGTCTGATGATGGTCAAATGTGTAATGCCATCTCCTAGTCTTTAGCTTTTACTCTACTGTCTTCTTCTGTTCCTTAAAACTGTCCTTTGTAACACAGAAACAGCACATCAGCCTTTTCCTCAGGATGCGCTTTCTAGGGAAACCCAAAGTAAAACAAGGGCCCTGCCCAGTCTCACTAGGACAGTCTTGAGATCCTGCATAAATGCTACTGGTCCCTTCCCATACACCTTTGACTATAGGCTCAAAGACTTGAGAGCATTCACTGCCTCTCACGACATATATTTTCTTCCATTCTGTATATTGTCTTTCCATTTTTTTGTTCTACAATAGTTTCCCCTTACTCATAGTTTTGATTTTTCAAGTTTCAGTTACCGTTTGAAATTATTAAGTAGAAAATTTAACTAAACAATTCTCGAGTTTTAAATTGCACTGTTAGTAGTAGTATGGTGGACTCTCATGTCATCCCACTCTATCTCACCCTAGATCTGAACAATCCCATTGTCTAGCACATCCACTCATGCTTCCCACCCATTAGTCACTTAGTCTTTTTGGTTAGCAGGTCCAAAGTTGTGGCCTCATGGTGCTGTGTTCCAGTGAATCTTAATTTACTAATAAAAGGTCCAAAGTACAAGAGTACAGATGCTAGCAATTAGAATATGCCAAAAAGAAGCCACAAAGCTAGCAGGGTATAGTAGCACAGATGTAATTTCAGTTACTTAGGAGGCTAAGGCAAGGGGATGCTTTTTTTTTTTTTTTGGTCTCAGGAATTGAACTTAGGACCTTGCACTTACCAGGCAGGTGCTGCGCCACTGAGCTACATCCCTGGGCCAAGGCAAAGGAATCTTAAGTTTGAGGTCAGCAATTTAGTGAGACCTTGAATCCAAAATATAAAATAAAAAGTGATGGAAATGTAGTTCAGTGGTACAGTGCTCACCTAGCATGTTCAAAGCCTTGACTTCAATTCCTAGTACAGAAGAAAAAAAGAGCTCTAAAGTGTTTCCTTTGAGTGAGAAAATGAAAGTAAACAATAAAGATTTTTTTTTTTTTGGTAAAAGTTAAGGTATTCTGAGAGGTCATATTCACGTAACCTTTACTATAGCACATTCTTAATTTTTTTGTTGGTTTGGTTTTTTTTTTTTTTTTTTTTTTTGTGGTACCAGAGATCAAACTCATAATCTTGCGCTTGCCAGGCAGGCGCTTATACCACTGAGCTAAATCTCCAGCTCTCATATAGCACATTCTTAAGGTGATTTCTGTTTGGTTGTTACTCTTACTGTGACTGATATTTTTTCTATGCAGTTTTAAAATGTAATGTTAGTTCATATTTGCAGCACATGACTACATTCATTGTGAGATATCTGTACATGCACATAACATTTTGATTCTTTTTACAGCACTTTCCTCTCTTCCTTCCCCGCTGCATTTTTCTTCCCTTTCTTTTCCCCACCCTGAATCCTTTCTTTTCCTATTACCTATCTTTTACTTTGCTCTTTATTTTGGGTTTCTCCTAAAAGAGAAACCATGTGATATCTAAGCTTGTGTGTCTGATATATTTCACTTAACGTTGTTCTTAAGGTACATCTGTATTTTTTTTTTTCCACAAATGACTGAAGTTTACCCTTCCTTAAAGGAAAGTAGTACTCCATTGTGTATAAATACATTTTCTTTATCCCTTCATGTACTGATGGACATGTAGGTCTCTTCCAAGATACACATAGCTGTTATGAATTATGCTGCTGTGTGGGTAGGCATCTTTCACTGTAAAATGATGTCTTCTAACTCTTGGGAAGGCGCCCAGAAGAGGAATAGCTTGGTTTAATAGAATTTCTAGTTTTAGTTTTCTAAGGACTCTCCATACTGATTTCCACAGTAGTTGTACTAATATAGAAAATTTCTTTATTCCCAGTCTTGCCAGCACATTATTTGATTTCTTGATGATGATCATTCTTTTTGGAGTAGGACAGAACCTGTGTTGTTTTGTTTTTTTCAAATGGCCAGAAATGTTTAATATCTTTTATGTATTTTATTCTTCTGAGAAGTACCTACTCATTTCAGTTGCCCATTTTTGACTGAGTCTATTTTGGGAGGTCTAATTCTGAGTTCTTTATATATTCTATGTATTAATCTGTTGTCCAAGGAATAGCTGTGAAAAAATTTTCCATTCTGCAGGTTGTCTCTTCACTCTGTTGTTTTCCTTGCTATACAGAAGCTTTTTAATTTGGTATGACCCCATTTGTTGATTCTTGGTTTTATTTCTTGTGTGATTGGTGTTTCCTCTGAAGTCTTTGTGTGTGCCTGTCTTCGAGGGGTTTTGGCTAACCTGCTGTTAGGAGGCAGGGCCTGCTTGGGGAAGGCACGTCCCTGGGTGTGACCTGGAAGAGTGTATATTCTTCTCCAGCCCCTTTGGTGCTATTTCTTGATCATCATGGTGTGAGTAGCTTTTCCTTCACTGTGCCCTTCCACCATGCCATTGTGCCTTGGAGCTAGCAGTCTATAGCCTAAAAACAGGATCCAAAATAGATCTCTCTTCTTTCAAATTGTAAGTGTCACATATTTAGTTTTGCAGGCTCAACTCTGGTTATGGCTCTCTTGCTGGGAGAGTCCCAAGATACCTAACATGGCATCACGGGGCAAGAGGCAGGGATACATGTGTTTATATATTAGGTCTCTGTTCTTTATTATTTATTTTTTGGTGCTGGAGATTGAATCCAGGGCCTCACACATAGTAAGCAAATGCTCTACCACTGAACTATATCTCAGCCTGTCTTTCTTCTTATAAAGCTACCAGAATTCAATCATGACGGTTATACTCTAATGACCTTAGCCAACCTCATTCAATCCTAATCATGTTCTAGGGCCTCACCCTTAAATACTTAAATTGGATTAAGTTTCAATCCACTTAATACCATTCCAGTTAATACCATTAACATACACTTTTGAGGATTAAACTCCTTAAATTAGGGGGACAAACCCATTACGAATCAAGTTTCCAAAACTAGGTGCTTGTCCTCACTTCTTTGCCTTCATTTGGCGTTGGTCTATGGAGCTCTTTGGTGCTGGTATTAGCAGCTCTGAGTGTTTATTAGTCTTTCTTTGGAAATGACTACTCTGTCCACACTACTCATGATAAAAATCCCAAGTAAATGCACACATCTTTTGGAGCCAAGAAGTAAATCACAAGCAGGTTTATAGGAACACCAAAACAAGTCTTTATTTTCACAGGGCTGTGCTGCAGCAGATAGGCCTCAGTACACAGTAGGGAGGTTGAATTTTTCTAACAGTTTAACCTCAGTACAAATTGGCAAACTGAGAATACTAGTCAAAGAATGAGTATCTGAATTATATCACTCTCCTGCTAGATCTGTACTGTAAAAGGGAAGTGGTGAGATATCCCTTACGTCCAGATCTCTACAAATATATTTGTGTGGCTACAGTTTCTAAATCCTACAGGTTCATCCTCCTCACTCAAGGCAGAGGCCTCTTGCCTCTGTCCTTATCATCACCTGCCCCATCAATCCCATCAAGATTGAAATGAGTAAAAAAGCTAGCACCCCACTTTACCCTAGGAAATCTTTTTTCACTACAGGAAGTGTCAGATTGGGATGGAAGCATTACCAGTATACATCCCTCTCTCAACGATAAACATGGCTCAGTGTAAAGAAAGGTTTGGTGGTTTTTCTGAGGAGCCTGGTAAATTTAGGGTTGAATTCATTAATCTGAGTGGAAATGTTATTCTGACTTGAAAGTATGTGGCTGCAGTGTTAACCCATTGCCACACTCCTGATGATGTTTTTTAAAAAAGACTGCTGCAGTTGCTGATAGGTGGGCAGCTAATTTCCCACTGTGTCCATACATAGGTTTTTACCCTTGTATGTACTCTTTCCAATATTTTATTGCATTTTTATGCACTGAAAGCTTTTTCCCTATTGTTAAAATGCATAGGGTTACATCCCAGTATGAACTCATTTTTGAGAAAACCAGAGCTGGGAAGATTTCCTACATTGTTCACATCCACAAGGTTTCTCCCCAGTGTGAGTTTTTTATGACGTTGACAGTGACTGCGTCTGCTGAATGCTTTCCCACACTGCTTACATACATATAGTTTGCCCACAATGAGTTTTATCATGAATTTTGTAACATGTCTCTGGACTGAATGCTTCACTACATTTCTGGTACACGTAGGGTTTCTCCCCAGTGTGAATCTTTTCATGACTTTGACACTATGTACTGAATGCTTTCCTGCAAAGCTCACATACAGTCTCCTCAGTGTGAATTTTGTTGTTGTTGTTTTTGAAAGGAATTACTAAGAGCTAATGCTTTTACACATTTCTTAGTCACAAGTGGCAAGTCTTCTATCATATTTTTCAATATGGTATGAAGAAATAAAACTCAAAGTGTTTGTGTACATATGAATTCCCTAAACTGTGTGGATTTGACCACTACATGTTGTGAAGTCTTTCACACACACTTTTTTTTACCTACAAAGGTTTTGTGCCCAGTGTGAGTTCATTCACTAAGCTCAGAGTTGCCTTCCTCACTGTTCCTGTTGATAGGGTTTCTCTCCAGTCTTCCTCATTTCATGTTTCTAAAGGGACTGCAAATCATTTCAGGGTTTCCCATGTTCATTACTTTTACACTGCTTCTCTTCAAATTTCAACTAATTCACTGCATATATCTTAGATTTCTGAGCAATTTTTGCCCTCTTCTTCAATTTGCTGGTTATCTCAAGTTCTTTCTATAGCACTAATATTCCTAAATCTTTTCCACATCATACCTCTGTAGAGCTTCCTTTGGGATGGATTCATTATGTCCCATTCTGCTGGGGTGAAGTTCACAACTAGATCCTCAAAGGTCACTGTCTTCATTTTGTGGCTTGAGAGTCTCTGGGGATTCTTTGAATGTAGCCTGCAGTAAGCTGAAGTCAGAGAAAAAGGTGGTCTAGTTAGCTGGAGGTACTCAACTACATTCTCACAGTGTGAACTTCCTTCTCATGACTGAGAATGGAATATTTCATAAGTTGACTTTCAGAAAGAATGAGAAGGTGCCTGGCTAAGTCTGTTAATTATGACAAAATTTAATAGGTAACATAAGAAAAGGAAGAGAATTCTGCTTTATCTTCATATCACTTGTTTAATAGCCATGCATTTTATAATGTAGCCTGCCCAGTATTAGGAGGAAGTTACAAAAACTTCAGGCAGGTCCCCAAACTCCATTGTCAACCTTGGGGGAGGAAGTCTACCAGGTCAGTAGGAACCCGGATTAGATAGAAGGCAAATAAAGAGGATAAAGAAAAAGATGCAGATTTTGGCTCCTTTAATTCATCTGCCATCTCAGTGTAACTCATTATCAAAAGGAGGTCAGTAAGCATTAAAAGTCCAGGATCAAATGAACTCTCCAGAAAAAAAGACTTGACAACTGGACTAAGGAAGTAAAAATATCTTTTAGGCTCCACTACAATTGGAAACATCACCATTACCATGGAGAAGCTTAGGTAACCATCAGCTTGGCAGGGTAAAAAGAAAATGTCAATTTCTTTTGGACACAGGAATGTTATAAAATTGCATCTGGAAATGTTTTATCGATTTAGCTTATGTACTATGTAGTTCACCCAGCTCTGAACCCCTTACTAATTTAAGTCCCCATTACCTAAGTTTTAATAAATATGTGTTACAGCTTGGGTCTAGATGTCCCTACAAAGCATCCTGCAGTCATAGGTGGAACTTCTTCAGAGGTGGCTGGATCTAGAATGTGTGATGCTAGGATTAAGGGTGTGGGATTACCCTTAATCCATTGATTGGTTTGGAACCCACCCTAAACTGGGAAACCTAGGCAGAATGTAAAAGAGGCAGAAAGAAGCTACTATTGTTGCTTGCTTTTGCTGTCTTCTGTTGTACCATATTTTTCTTCTCTGTAATGCCCTCTACCATACCACCCTGCCTTGAAGCCAGCCAATTACAGACTGAAATCTCTACACGTTGTGAGCCAGAATAAACCGTTCCTCATTTAACTTTGGGTGTTGGGTTCTTAGTAGTTAGAAAAGTAAGTAAGACAGCATGTAAACTAAAAAGATACACAGAGACACTTCACCTTTTGTGGAATGACTGGCTTCTGGAAAAGTCTTAATGTTATATTCTGTCATTCTCAGCTATATCATCAGGTAACAATATGAACCTTAACTCAAAGACTAGGAAATATCGCTTGGCTGGTAGACTATTTCTTCTGATACTCCTAAGCAGTGACAAGGGAATGCCTTGACTATCTCAAAGCAGTGGTTATAACATCCCCACTTGGTGAAAAAAGCAACTAGGCTGTCCCTCTACCAATCTTTGGAAAGACAGACCTCTCACTAGAATCGAGATGTCTTAAAGGGAAAAGGACACTGGTAGATGACCAGAAGAGTATCAAGCTCTTCTGTTGAGATGATATATGGGAGGAAAATGAGTTGTTTGATAAGAAAGCTACAGGAAGGCATGCATAGTATAGACTTGGGGAAGGAAATAAATGATATAAAGAAAGATGGATATGAAGGGTGAATATGTTCAGATAAGAAAGAATTCTGAATGGTGAGATTCTGCCAGAAAGTTAAAGTAAGTTGCAGAGAGTCTGCAAGGATGAAGTCTATGAAAGGAAATTTGTATGTAGTGAAGTTGTCTAGTTTGTACTTTCAAAAAAAAAAAAAAAAACGCAGCACAAACAATAAAGCCAGGAAGTTACTGGCTATGGTATCAGACCAACCTCTGAAGCAGTGCCCACAAAGCTCTGATTGAGAGAAGAGGGTCTTAGACTCAAGGGTATTGAGATTCCTTCAGGGTGTTTCTACACACTGCTTCTTATTCTTTCTGGTTCTTATACAAAAAAATTTTAATTATGGTTTGATATATTTCACAGCAAAACAAAACTTTGGAATTACAATGAATTACATAGATCAATTTGGGAAGAACTGATTTTTAAAAAAAAACAACACTGAAGCTTGGGCATGGTGATGCGTACCTGTAATCCTAGCACTTAAAGGCTGAGGCTGAAGGATACCAAATTCAATTCCAGCTTGGGTAATTTTTAGCAATCTAATGAATTCCATTCTCAAAGAAAAAAGTAATAAAAAAGCTGTAGCTGTAGCTCAGTATAAGCACCCAGAGTTTAATTGTTAGTACCAAAAACAAAAGATAGTAAGAAACTCCAATCGTGACAATCCCATCAATAAGAAGGAAGAAGCAGAAGGATCCTAAATTTGAGTCTATCCTGGGCTACATAAAAGTTCAAGGAAGGTTGTGACTACACAGTGCAAGTGGTGACATACTTATGGCATATATGCTACAGTGGGCTGTAGCATCGAAAGCTCTACAAAGTTTGCCATTATTGACATAGTGAGTTCCTATCACGAAATAAATATTTTAAAAACACTGATCTGTTATCTAACAACTTAGATTAGCTGTCTGTGTTACAGTTTCATGAGTATCTTTCATGTATTAAATGAATGTTGTGTGCTGGGATTCTTTAGATTATCTCTCCTTCATGGGCACCTCCCTTCTTTCCTGTTCAAGTAAATGACACTCACTTATTACCTTAAACCAGAAATATGGAAGTCATTCATTCACCTTACGTTCATGTATTAGTTCCATTTTTTATTGCCAAAAATATAATTCCACAGACTAAAAAAACTGTATATAAAGAAAAAAGGCTTAAGGGGGCTACATCTGGTAATGGCCTTCTTGCTAGGTCCCCAGGTGGCAGAGGACATCACATGGCATTGCGTGCATCTGGAAGGATGTGTATGTATGTCTGTCTCACCCTTTTCTCATAAAGCCAGCAGGATTCCATTATAGGGCTCCACCCTAGTGACTGTTGATACTCACCCCAGAACTCCCACCTTTAAAGACCATAGTTGGATTAAGACTCATTACCACAACAAATTAATTGTGAATACCTCACACTTAACTTTCAACAACGAGACCCTAGGGGACACTGAAATTGCTTCCAGGTCATGGATTTAGCTCAGTGGCACAGTGCCTGCCTGGCAAGGGGAGGCCCTGAGTGGTCAGTCAAACTGCACCCAAACAATCACACCCCACAACCCAATCCTACTGATTCTGTTAACCATCTTTTGAGTTAGCTCACTTGTTTTCTTCTCTTGTTTGTCTCTCCTAGAATCCATTTCCTCCACTTATTTCCTTGCTGGTTCCCTTGATATGTTATTTGTATGGCATCATCTCTTCCATTTTCACCGAGTCCTATAATGATCTTTGAAAACTGCAAGTGGTTATGTCACTTCTTTGCTAAAATCCATAAAACCAACAAACAAAAGCTTCAATGGCTTTCTACTACTCTCCAAAAAATAACAGGATATGAAATCTGGACCTTCTTGCTCTATGTCACCATACTGGTTTTCTTTTGGTACTTAAAAATCAGTCTAGTGCTATCTCCTGCACCTAAACTACTTTTCCCTTTTACCTAAGTAGTCTGTTTAGCCAGCTTTTCTCATTTTTCCTATTTGCACTCTGAAATCTCTAAAATCCCTTTCTGATCATCCAAATCAGGCTATCTACTCCTTTCCTGAAAGCTCCCACAGTATTTGGTACCTCTTGCTAAACTCAAGAGCATTGGTGAGTGCTTGCATGCTGGTCTCCCCTACTTTGTTGTACATTTCGGGGTGGTGGAGCTATGCCTATCTTATTCTTTGTACTCCTAGCCCCTCACATAGTGCTTAGCACAAGGCAAGATCTTAATCCTTGGTTGATGATCAACTCACTAAAAGAATGAACAAATTGGGGCTGGGGATTTAGCTCAGTGGCATAAGCACCAGCCTTGCAAGCAGGTGGTCGAGAGTTCGATCCCCGGTACCAAAAAAAAAAAAAAAAAAAAAAAGAACAAATGAATCATCGGCTGAACAGTGAATCTGGGATACTTTAGAGAATATAAAGCAAAGTTCTAGTTCTCAGGTAGACAACAAAGGAAATTCTCCTAGAGGATGATCAGAAATGAACACAGGGAACATTCTATTTCATAGCATCATAAATGCTACTTTAATTATTCTTATTTCTCCCTCTGCTCAAGTTTCTGCTTAAAAGAATTAAGCTCAGGATTCTGGGATGCTGTATACAAAACATTCTAGTAAAAAAAAAAAAAGAAGATATTCTGTGTCTTTCAAATGAAAAAATTGAGTTTAGAGATTAAAACTACTATTCATGGTCTCAAGACAATTTGAGTAACCTCTGAATCATGATGATGTCATCTTTACCTTGTTTGACACTGAAATCTGGCCACTATTCCAGAACTGTTTTTTATGATTAAATAGGGCCTATGATGATGACAGCTTGATCCTGAAAACTTATCATTCCAAATCCCAAAAAATATTTCCAACTGGATGTTAGCCTAATGCAGTGCTCATTCCTTCCTAAGGTAACATTCTCCAAACATGTGAACTAGCATATCAATAAGGTCAAACAAATCATGAAAACAAAACACTGTTTATGTATCAGATTTCCAAGTTCTCCACCCCATGAAAATACAACTTTAGACATTTTTATTTTTTTTTTTTTGGTCAGGGTTTTTTTCTCTTGTCCTCCCCATCACCTCTTTTCTCACCTCCCCTACCCTCTTTAATTTTTTTTTGTAGGACTAGGCATCACATATGCTGACCATGTATGCACCACTGAGCCATACCACTAGCCCATTACAGTCCTGACACAGCTTCCCAGCAATGTTATGAGTTTTCCTTTAAATGCTATTTTCTAGTTGTATGAGTAACACTGACAAATTTGGCTACAATATTCTTTCTCACTGTGTGATCAGCTTGTCACCACATCCCTTAAAGCGCAGGGTGGTTCTAAGACAGTAATCTTTCCAAGACACTCCCAGTGGTGTCTCATGGGGAGACTGAGCTCACAATTTAGTCAAACAAGAGACTTGAGCAAAATTTTTGATCTTCAACTACGCTGATTTCATTTTCTGCTTTAATGCTAGTCATCTAATTGTTGAAACTATCATTATAAGCAAAAAATGTTGGGACTTACTGAATATTTATGCAATGTAGCTTGTTCCTATGGCAACAGAAAGTAACTGAAAAAATTTTTTTCTGAAGTAGAATCGTTAAATATGTGATTAAGAAAAGTTTCTATTCCAATTGTACCTCTTCGCTATCAGATTATTTGAAAAAATATTTAAAATATTTTTAAACCAATTTTTAATGCTCAAAACTTTTAAGCTGCTTTTGGATATAATATTTTGTGCAGCCTTTTTTTCTTTTACATTCTTGACATAGCAAAATGTTAAAGGAATTATTCAGGCCTGATATTATACTTAATAGTCATACCACTCAATTTACAGCTTTTATAATTCTTTATATGTCCAATCACTTTATTTTAGTTTCCTTATTTTTGATACAGAGTTTTGCTATGTAGCTTGGGCTGTCCTTGAAGCTCCTATCTCAGACTCCTGAATGCCGGGACTGCAGGTTACACCACTGTAACCAGCTTGGTCCACTTACTTTAAAGAAAATGGTAGAAAAGGGAGGGGATAAAAAGATACGATTTTAGCAACTGGAAAGATTAAGACTAACACAAAAGCCAACTGTGCAGTGACAAACAGCAACCTTGGTGGCCAGTTAGTGATAATACAAAGAAACAAGCAAGACAAAAATGGTTTCTGAAGAAGCAAGTTGGTTAAAAAAAATGTTTTTAATAATTGAGAATATTGATCAAATTTAATGTTGATTTTTCTTTTCCAAAGTGAAGATGTAAAAGCTCTAACTCAAATGACACCTCAATGAAGTCTTCTGTGATCATTTCTTATTCTTCACTGTAACATTTATCATCTTCTGAGATAATTTTTAAAGTATTTTATTTCTAATCTGTTCACAATCTAACAAACTACATGAAAGAACTGTCATATATCTTCTTCACTGGTATATTCCACTTAGAATATTCCTGCAATGTAGATGGGTTTAACAAATATTTAGTGAGTGAACAAGTGTGTACTGATACAGGAAGATATGCCACACTAGGGAAAAAAGGGAGGATGGAGGGAGGTAATAGCATATTCCGTACACAGTACATGCCAGTTACTTGTAGTTAGGCAGAGCTCTATTAGTAATGATGACCAATAAATTATACACATGTCAATAATGAGCTAATGCAGTAAAAAGCCTATGCGCGATTATCGTGTCTTTCCACTACTATGGTTATTAAAGATGTCACTTATTTCAGAGTTTGACCACTGCAGAACGAAACTTGCCAGAAGGGGGACCCCTGAGTAACTGCAAGGAGAAACTGCTTTTTCATCTGTGCAAGAGATGTAGCTGACAAGAAATAACTTCTGTCGGGTTTTCCTGAGACATTTTGGGATGTTTGTTTCTGCAACATCTCTAGCTTATATAAATACATGTAAACAAACTAGCATGTATTATGTGCCAGAAATTTTGCGACTACTCCACATATATTATTTTACTAAACCTGTACAAAGCCCCAAAGCCAGTACTGTTAGATGGAGGTGAGGAAAATAAGTCAGTGTAAAGACAACTTTGCTTATGGTTGCCAGTTAAATGGAAGGACTGAAAATGAAGCCCAAGCAGTCTAGAGAAACACCTACTGAGTTGTTAACAGTGGTTACCCCTGTAGGTGGGATTATAGAATGATCACTCCCTATTCTGTATTCAAGTTTTTTGAAAAAATCATGTATGGGGTCAGGAGTATAGCTCAGCCGCACAGCACCTGCCTGGCAAGTGCAAGGTTCTAAATTCAATTCCTGGTACCTGCCCTACCCAAACAAAACCACATATTAGCTTTGTAGTAGGTAAGTAAATAAAAATAAGCTATTGGATACTCACAGATTATGAATTCAGAGATGAAAATCAAGTAATCATGAGGCCGTGGTGTAATTAAGGATTTCCTAAAAATGACTTTCTACCTTCTAAATAGGCATATTTGGTTTTACAAGTGAATTCTACTGAGTAAGGCAAATTATACTGTATTTTTAGAGGAAAATTGCATTGGTTTACTGAGAGAAAAATATTTCTGGTAAGAAGTATAAAACGTGCTTTAGGCCCATAGACGGATTAATGTTGTAGTTCTGCAATATTGTAATTTCGGATTTTCCTTAATATCGCTTATTAAAAGGCAATAATTTGACAGGATGTGTGGCACATGCCTGCAGTCCCAGTATCACTGCCAGCTGGATTACTACACCCAGCCCTAGTTTTATTCTTCTTCTTCTTTTTTTTTTTTTTTTATTGATACCGGGAATTGAACTCAAGACCACGCACTTGCAAGGCAGACCCTAGTTTTATTCTTGTCAGGAGGAAACTGAAAGGCTAAACTATCCCAGACCTGAAACAGCTTGGTGACATGCATGTCACCTGACTTCAATCCTGTGATGATTACTCTGGGATGGCAATCTAATCAAGCTATTCTCATAGCCAGACCTTGCTGTCTTCATGGGTGCCCATATTGCCTTTATTTTTCGAGCTTGTTTCTTCAGTGTTCTCTCCCAGACTCTAAACTATTTGCCCTGAGTTGGTTTCTTTTGCTTGGAAACAAGAACTTGATTACCGAATAGTGGCGACTGGCCACTGCTTACAAGACTTAGAAGGCACGTCTAGAAGAAAATGAGCCATCTTTGAAGGAACTTGAGTGGGATGATAAATCTCACAAAAGCAGTTTGACTAGTTCTTAGATTTCTTCCCAGTTTAATGTATTGTTTTTCTTTCCAGGAATTTCTATCATTTCAATATTCACTAGTTGCACACATAAATCTCCATACGTTTAATATTCACTAGTTGCACACATAAATCTCCATACGTTTAATTTCATCTTTCATTTATAACAACACTTTAAAAAGAAGTAAATCAAAGTTTATTTCATTTAATGCTGCAAGAGGGACAAAAAATAAAGCCAACGAATTAACTACAATACTTTTGTTTCACCGTTTCATCATGCTAACAGCTACTTCCTTTGTTTTGCTTTGTTTTGTTTGAGACAGTGTCTCCCTATGTAGCCCGGGCTGGCCTGAACTTCCGGCAATCCTCCCGCCTCAGCCTGGGATTACAGGCGTGCATCACCCTCCCGGCCAACACCTCTTTTCTACGAGTTTCTACATCTCTTCTCCAATTCCTTACCACCTTATGCTGTAGTAAAAAGAAAGCGCATTGTACTTAACGTTTTTCCATTTGTTTAAAAGTAAATAAAACCCTTGGTCTTGAACTTGACAAACAGCAACAAATGTGAGTACGAAATTCAGATCGTGACATAAAATACTCCAATGAAAGGGACATTTGAAAAAAACAAGCTACTTAGGAACGAGGAGCCATGAGAGCCTCCAGGTACAGGCCCGAATGGACGGACAAGACCCTAAGCGAAGGTAACAAAGGACAAGGGATTGCGCCTTCGGTCTCTGAGAACTTTAGGGACCCACCGTGGTCACGACTTACGTAGCTCAGGGACTCCCAGGTAGACGCATTTCCAGTCTGAGACCTAGACGCTCCGAAGGCCCCGCTCAGTGATGACGCACATCCGGTGGGCGGGCTTCCGGTGCCGGCCCCAGCACCCAGAGCTGACACATGAAGGCCCCGCCCCTGTGACCCCTGATCCCCGCCCTTCGGCCCCCTTCGGACCGCCCCGTGACCTCCAGGGCCCCGCCCCGCGGCCCAGAGCTCTGAGTCCGGGGGTGCCGCGTCGCCCTGCGTGAGGGGCAGGGGCGGGGGCGGGGTGCAGGCGTTGGCCCTGCCACGTCTGGGCCTGGGTTCCCCGCTGTGGCGCTGGCGGGGCAGGAGGTGGGGCAGGCGCTGAAGCCGGATCCGGATGCGGATCCGGTACTCTGCGGCCCCGGGGTATAGAATTCGACGCACCTGGCGGGAGCGCAGACTGCCGCGGCTCTGCGGGTGAGGAGTGCCAGGGTACCGGGGAGCCGGGGGACGGGGAAGCCGGGGGCCAGGGAACCGGGATTAGGGGACCGGGGAGCCGGGAAGCCGAAGTCGGTCTGGGCCGTTCGGGCACACGTGGGGGGAGAACGCAGCCTGGACGCTGCGCAGACGAGACGGGCAGCTGGTCAACCAGGCGGGCTGAGTTGTAGGCGGTGGGACGGGCCCGAGCCGGCCCAGGCCCGGCCGCCCCAGCTCTCGGCTCCTGGCCGTTGGGAGCGCGGAGGACACGAGCGGCTTCTGCTCCAGAGGCTGCTCCCTACCTGCCTGGCTCAGCCTCCGGGGAGCTAGGGACATCCTTTGTCTAGGCGCGGGGCTTCTGTCCCCAGAGACTCCGAGCACGGGTTTCTGTTGCAGTAGCTGGTGTCCAAGTGAAAGTCCAAGGTAGAGTGAACGCAGGCCGACGGGAGGCGTTTCGGGAGTGGGTCCGGGAGCCGTTTAGCTGTTTCAGGCAGGATTGAGGCTGAACGGGGGAGCCAGAGCCACCTGTCGTGGCCCAGGATGTAAAGATTTGCGTCTTGTAGATTCTTTCATTGCGAAGCGCCAGTTGCAAAGGCGAGGTCGGAGGAGTCCGGTCCCCGCTCACTCATTTGCAGTGTGTGTAACCTTGAAGTTAGTCTTGGCGATTCCAGCACCTGAGCTGCCTCTTCAGTACACTGGGAATAACGTCTGAATGAAAGGTCTAGGAAGCTATCAGGAAATACTTGCGAGAATCTGTGCAAGTGCATAATTTCATCATGAATGAGACGTTCTTGAGATTCAAAATGTTAGGCAAATTGTTTTGTCATATAATTAAGAGAAAAATTCTGATGTCTCGAACAGCACAAATGTTCCCTTCTCCTCTTCATCATATACTGAAGACGCCCCCCGGGGAGGTGTATGGTAACATAGATTTGATCTTAGATCATGTTTTTAAATTTGTGTATCGACTTTGTAAATCTTTGTCTCCAGTGTCTACTTTTGCTTCAGCTGCGTTCTAGAAGCAGTTCCTTCCCATTTGTATTATCTGATATAAAAACTGAAAAACTGAGTTGTTGAAATGTATTTAAAAATTCAAGTGGAAACCTCTCAGTACTAGTAAAAATGAGTTTGGTGAATAGTTTTTGTGATGTAACTTGTGGCACTGTGGGAATCTTTTTCCCTTGATTTCCTGAAATGTGGCCTAGATAAGTCTTATATCATTTGTTATTCATTCACTAGGCATTTATTGGGCTAGGGTGAGGCAATATATTGGTCTTGTGAATGTAGGCTAATTAACCAGTTTTAGCAGTTAAACAGAAGAGGTCCTTGAGGATTATTACAGAAGAGTTAGGGTTGCTTTTGAAGAGAAAAGGGATTTTTTTATTAGTTCACATAACTAAACTTCAAGTGTAGGAATGGTACAAAAAAATAAAAAGTCTTAAAATCATCAAAGGTTTTTTTTTTTTTTTTTTAAATCTCCACGACAGTTTCTGTAATTACAATTAGGTTTTGGATACAGCTGACTCCATAAATCACATTTCACGGCTTCCTGATAGAAAGATGGAGATCTTTCTCTTTTGGCCTATTTTGTAAATCTTATTAGAAGAGTCTTGGCTCCGTAGATCACTGAGTTCATGGTTGTGCACCCTGATCAGTCTGTTTGTAGCTAGTGTCAGAACTGATTTGACTCTGACTGCTGGAAAGCTGGGTTAGGTAATGTCGTTTTGTTTACTGTTCCTTCTCCCTCCTTTAGTATGGTTCTTTATAAATAAGTATACTTTCCAATTGATTGACTTTAGACATGGTTAGTTGACCAATGGATGAAGGTAAAAATGGTAGCTTGTGCCAGCTGTAAATGGAAGTTTGAAAGGGTCTTTGTTTTTTGTTTATCTCTTGAGCTTCTGACCTTTGCTAAGAGTGATTTTTCTCAAGGATCCTGGCTTCTCCAGCATGGGTTGTTCACTGGTTTAAAGCCTACTACCAAGGAAAAAGAGAAAGTAGCATAGCATAGGTCCAGGCATACAGGAAAAAGGACAGCCTTTTGATGCCTTCCCTGGGTGGGCTGCTGTCCAGGAACTTTGTGTGTTGAGCTATCTGGAAGCTCCATGGTTTCCTTTTTTCTTTTCTTTTTTTTTTTTTTTTTAAATCTTTTTGAGCTCTGCAGGTCAGGCTGGCCTTGGGCTCACTTTGTAGCCCAGGCTGGGCTTGAATTTACAGTGATCCTCCTTCCTTAGCCTCCCAAATGCTGTGAGCCACCACACCTGGCTCCAAAGTTTACTTTTTAAATTAACCTACTTTATGATGAGACTGTGATAGTAACGATGAGATTGTATTTCAGGCAACTGTTACAACTTTGATGAAATTTCCTAGTTTTGCAGTATCTGGGACACCTTAAGAAGCTAAAATAGTATTACTTTTGCAAAGCAAATAAAATTGTCTATTTAGTTCTTTTTAATGTGTTTTGGAAATCTGGTATCAAATCACATCTTGTTTTATGTTTACCTAGCATGTTAGTTCAACAACAGCAAAGTTACTAACTGAGGACAGAATGACAATTATGGTTTTGTAGAATAACGGATAAAGTACATTTTAACATTAATTTCTGGTATTCTGATTAATGGATTCTTATTTCTATCCAGAATGCTTTCATCATGCTATTTTTGACAAAGCTAAAATTCTTATTTTGCAAGTGTATGTTCTAAAGTGCTGTCTTGGTTAAATTTTCAACTCTTACACAGTAAGTAGGGAATTCGTCTAAACTAGTACATTTTTGGTGGGATAGTTTAGCAGAGTCTGAACTCATTCTGGCTAGGTATATTTTTGTCCAAAAATCATTAAAGAATGTCAGATTACCAGCAGCAGAGTATTTAATCTGAGCAAGGAGGACCGGGGCCCTGTAGAGATCCAGCACCTGTGAAGCATACCCTGCCACCTTCCTCTGAATTCTAACTCTTCCTCCTAGCACTGGAACCTACAGCAAATATGCTTGGAAAAATGGGGATAAAAATCATAACTGTCTTTCACAGTGTTTGAAAGAATTAACAACTATAATGTACTCCACAAATGTTAGGGGACTACTGATTTTTATAATCATTTGTAAACTAGGACCAGCTAGTTAAAGAAAAGCTCAGGAAAACATTTAAAATTAATTAAAATCTTTCTAATGCTGATTCTTCTTCTGTATACTTCTCCCTACTCATATGAAAATTACTAAACTTAGAGTATCTTCAGGCTATGTTTTATTGTAAGCTGTAGCAACTTTATAAGAAAAAGACATTAACCTTAAATTTCATTAATGTTCATCATCAAATAAGAATAAAAATGTTTAGGGTGTTGCCTTAAGAAATTTAAAATTCAATATTTTTTGTTTCAGCATTTAATATATATTTTATTGATTGTCTGCATACTTGAAAAACAATGTTGTTTCCCCTTTTTCACATGAGATTACAATTGAACCCTCAGGGGTTCAGTTATCAAAGACAAACATTAAAATTCATGCCCAAAAATTAACCTACAAGAGTTTAGAATGGTTAGTAAGCTTGTTTACTTAATACAAGTGATTATTTGAATCATCACAATTCATATCTTTTCTTCAATAATTTTTGTCTTAGGAATAGTGTTATAATTTGATCTGAAACCTTTGTGAGGAAAAAAACAAAACTAACCTCTCAGCATTGTACATACCAAGTGACATTTTTATTCTTTCTTTTCCAAAAATACTAACTTTTGGCTTAACAGAAACATAATGAATGTCATATGTTTGTAGTCCCTGTACCCTGCCTGGTGCCTGATTAATGAGTTAACACTTATAAAGCTAATTTTGAATTTATTGCTAAGTAGAATATATCTTGTTAAGTATTCTCAGTGTGCCAGGTACCACTAAGTACTGGTGTGTATATGGGAACTTCTTTCCCTCCTAATAATTTCATGTCTACTTTGTAAATGAGGAAACTAAGACTTTAATACTTCAATTACTTTAAGATCACACAATTGACATTTGTATAACAGGCCTAATTCCAAAGCTCATGCTTTTTCTATGCCAGGGTTTATTGGCTCTATTTTGTAACCTTGGGCAAGTTTCTTGGCATCTCTGCCTTCATTTCTTTACTTACTAAAATGCAGATATCCACACACTTACCCTGAAGGATTATTGAAGTAAGTGAACTAGTAATATGTAAAGTTCTTTAAACCATGCCTGGCACATAGAAGGTGAGCAAGGATTATATCAAGCTACTTCCCCAAACCTGTACTGTCCCGTAGCATTCCATTGTACAGTTATAGGGGGTTGCACAGACAGAATTGTGGGGGGTAAAACAGGGTTTTGCTATGTAGTTTAGGCTGGTTTGATGTTGTGAAGACCCTGTTGTCTCAGCCTTCCATGTTCTGAGATTACAGGCCTGCAGAACCATGCCCAGCTCAGAGGCAAAAATTTGATCTACTTTTAGGGAAAATTTAAGAATATTTGCCCTAAAGTATGTCATAACTTAAGAAATAGGGAACATCTGGGAGTTAGTTTGTGGGAAAGTTAGTCTTTGAAACATAACAATTTCTATATATAGGGATACAAATTAAAATTGGAGGTTCAGTCTTCTGATTGTTGGGAAAGCTGTTTTCTTCTCACTATGTGATTTACCCCATTTTATGCTTTGTAAAATTGTTCATCTCTTCTACTGTGATATGTATTATTTAGGCTTAGTTTTCCAAGGCCATTAGTGAGAACCTCTCCATTTCTGAATGTTTATGAAGGGGGGAAATACCATAATTGGTTATTTTCAGTAGCACAAAAAACACTAGTTCGTGTGTGTGTGTGTGTGTGTGTGTGTAAGTATAAGAGACAGAGACTTGGGCCTGGGGATTTAGCTCAGAGGCATAAGCGCCTGCCTTGTAAGCAGGCAGTCGTGAGTTCAATCCCCGATACCAATAAAAAGGAAAAAAGACAAAAAAAAAAAAAAAAAAAAAAAAAAAAGAGACAGGAACTTGCTTTGTAGTTGGGCTATCCTAGAACTTACTATGTAGCCCAGGTTGGCCTCAAACTCATGATCCTCCTGCCTCTCAGCCTCTTGAAGGCAGCTGTCTTTGAGTTGCCTAGATGCTTAGAAATCCTGCTATGGAAACAAAATCCAGTGTTTAGTTCGTCATAGCTAAGACCAGCCATTTCTATGGACAGTTTTTTGAGACTGTTAAAGAATGCTTCTTTTTTTTTTTTTTTTTTTGTCTTTTTCCTTTTTATCGGTACCAGGGATCGAACTCACGACTGCCTGCTTGCAAGGCAGGCGCTTATGCCGCTGAGCTAAATCCCCAGCCCCCAGAATGCTTCTAATTGTATTAATGTATTAAGAAATTAATGTTCTCATCAGTCATAATAATTTTTTAATTAAATAAAATGCCTTAACACATAAAATTTTCTTTTAGACCTTACTGGAAAGATGAAACCTGATGAAACACCTATGTTTGACCCAAGTCTACTCAGAGAAGTGGACTGGAGCCAGAATACAGCTACGTTTTCTCCAGCCATTTCTCCAGCACATCCTGGAGAGGGCTTGGTTTTGAGGCCTCTTTGTACTGCTGACTTAAACAGAGGTATGGACTCACTTAATTTCCTATAAAAATTATTAAATTAGTTCTGTATTTTCTCCATAAACATTAAAACATAATTTTAAAAAATATTTCTTGGAGAAAGACTCCTCATAAACAGAGGTAAAGGTGTCATGTGTTAGAATCTTCCTTTAGAAGCTGAATGGAAATGAGAATGGAGATAATTTTCCTTAGTTAAATTCAAACTACATTCAAACTACTATGTATTTCTTTAATAACATCTAAATTCTCCATCATAATTCCCCTAAACTGTGGTAATTAATAGTAAAGTTTCTCAGATTTTTTTCATTTGGGTGAGAAATCTGAAGAAACTAATTTTGTTCTTTGTTTCTTTGTTGTTTGTTTTGTTTTTTGATCCAGAGTCTCATTGTCTCATTGTTATGTATGGGTTTGGGTTGGTCTTGAATCATAGTAAGAATCTTATGTTGTTGTTGTTTAAGACAGGATCTCATCATGTAGTCTAGGCTGGCCCTGATCCTTCTACCTCATTCTCCCCCAGAGAGATTACAATATTCTGGAATTACAATAATTTGCCATGTCTACGGCCATACCACCCTGAACGCGCCCGATCTCGTCTGATCTCGGAAGCTAAGCAGGGTCGGGCCTGGTTAGTACTTGGATGGGAGACCGCCTGGGAATACCGGGTGCTGTAGGCTTAAAAAAAAAAAAAAAAACAAAAAAAACAATAATTTGCCATAACTCCCTGCCACAGTGAGAATCTTTTACTTTAAACCAAATCACATATTTGGGAAAACTTGGCCTTCTTATATTTGAACTGAACACAAATTACACTGGAAAGAAAAATGTATGTGCTAGCTCTATAAATCTGGATATTAAGGTTTACACTATCCCAAAAATCTTATTAAGCAGGCAATATTGGTGAATTTTATAATCCTTTGTTACAGTGATTACAGAAAACAGGGTTCAGCTAATTTTGTTGAAACAGTAACTTTCAGTAGTCCCACCAGCTAAGGTAATACTGCTTTACAATGGATCTCCCCTTTGCTTTTCTTGTCATGTCTTGTAATTTCTTTTTCAAAACTAGGTTTTTTTAAGGTACTGGGTCAGTTGACAGAGACTGGAGTTGTCAGCCCTGAACAGTTTATGAGTAAGTATTATACAATTTTCTTAAAGAAAAAAGATTTTTTGTTTAGAACTTTGTTCAGTGCCTGTTTGTGTTTTTATTCAAGTTACTGGCAATTTTTCAGGTAACAGGGTTTCTTTTATAAATGATTAACATGACTGAGTTGTCTCAGAATCCAAATGCAGTAATTACTTTGTTTTGCAAAATAACCTATTTTTATATATTTTTTGAGTAAGGTGTAGGGGCAGCTCTAGGTATTTTTGTTTTTCTTACAGTATTTCCTATGTGGTTACAGAAATATCCTTACCAAATTAAAAATGCAAGAGTATATGTTCTATTTTTTAAAAAGTATACATTCTAACTTTATTTCTTTTGTTCTTAGTTTGAATTGTAAAGGTAGCACGTATCTTGGAGTTAGTCTACCCACTCCCTTGAGATGTGAGAAAAGTGGGTATCCAGAGATTTAGGGTCTTACCCAAGATCATAGCTGGTTACTGCTAAGGAAAAGTCTAGAAGCTTCTCAACTTTATCCAGTGTTCAGATAATACAGCTTTTTTCTAAACCCTCCTAAGAAGGAAAACTGTCATTCTCGGATTTTCACTCTTCATTTTCCTTTACTAAGTTTACTATTTCTACTTTAGACCCCTATCTAGACTGCAATGACAATTTGGTATTGTAGACTGCAATGACAATTTGGTTTTTAACTCAATTTCCCTTTGCATGCATAATAGATTAGATGAGAAAAGATGTTTTTTTCAGACATACAAGTACTAAAAATTATCTGATGGGGAGAGTATCTCTGCTCCTATGTGACTTTGGAAAATTACTTGAAAGTGAAGTCATTTTTCGCCTGCTATGTAAGGTGCTTTCAAAGCAAATGAAGTGATGTGTGTTTTTAAAAGAGCCAGTGTGTAATTATGAAACACTTGAAATCACAAAGAGAAAACTGAAAAACTGTTTTGTCAAAATATTTAGAAACTTAAGAATTATGGAGTACACTGTTTTGGGTTTTTTTGGTACCAGGGATCAAATTCACAGCCTCATGCTTACCAGGCAAGCACATGAGCCGCAGAACTAAATCCCGGTCCTTTTTATTCTTTTTTTTTTTTTTTTTTGTCTTTTTCATTTTTATCAGTACCGGGGATCGAACTCACAACCGCCTGCTTGCAAGGCAGGTGCTTATGCCGCTGAGCTAAATCCCCCAACCCCGCTTTTTATTCTTTTTGAGACAAGGCTTCACTACAAATTTCAGGCTGGCTTTGACTCACAGCGATTCTCCTTTGTCAGCCTCCTGAGACAGATTATATAGGCTTGTACCACTATGCCCAGCTAAGTGTGCTTCTTAAAATTTGCGTATCTGTTGGGTGTAAAGGTTAAACAAATGAAGCTATTGAAGTTTTAATTAGTGATAGAAATGGCAAAACGTGTAATTCATTTGTATTGTAAATGCTGTTCATCTAGATTAGCTTAGTCTTTGTTAACAAATTAAATATATGGATTGCAGTCCAATTAATACTAATTTAGCTATTTTAATTCATTTTAGATTAATATTTTTAGAAATGGAAAGTAAATTGGTACGGTAGTTCTAAAAATGAACTAGTGCCTATTTCTGATACCTAAGAAGATAGAATATTTATAGTATAATACTTTGTTTTCTAATTTGTAGAGTCTTTTGAACATATGAAGAAATCAGGGGATTACTATGTTCTAGTTGTGGAAGATGTGACTCTCGGACAGATTGTAGCTACAGCAACTCTGATAATCGAACACAAATTCATCCATTCCTGTGCTAAGGTATATATATGCTCACATTAATGCCTGTGTGTAAAATGAATAGGTAATCTCGAGGACCCTGAATTCCCATTAGATAACATCGGTTTTTGTCATTGTTTTATATGATTCTTAGAAATCTCTCTTTTTTTTTTTTTTTGTCTTTTTCCTTTTTATCTGTACCGGGGATCGAACTCACAACCGCCTGCTTGCAAGGCTGGTGCTTATGCTGCTGAGCTAAATCCCCAGCCCCTAGAAATCTCTTCTTACCACGCATTTTCCTGGTGTATTTCTCAGAGCTGCCAAAGGAAGAATAGTAGTGTGTGAATTGTTTGCTGAGCTGGTTCTGCAAAGGTGTCAGATTTGGTACAGTCATTGAAAACCAAGTAGTCTGTAAGAGTTTAGAATCCCTCATTTCTTCAGAAACAGAACTTTATACTTTTGAGTATATTACATTTGTACAGATTTCTATCAGTCTCCAAGTGGTAAAGATCATGTAATACTATATCATAATTGCATTCTAGTTGTGACACTTAAAATACTTGTTTTGTAATAGCCTTTCAGTTCTCATAAACTCACATGAAATAGTAAAAATAAAAACTCCCTACGTAATCAAAGAAAAGTTGGAGCAAACCAGGAAGACCACAGTTCAAAGCCAACATGGGCAACTTAGGAAGACACTGTTTCGGTGTAAACAGTGAAAAGGGTGGGTAGCTCAGAGATTTCGTTCAATCCCCTGTGAACACAGGAACACTTGGCTGTATTCTGTCGTTTATAAATTCTGATGGAGTTACGGGGTTTCTGCACTAGGAAAAGAGAAATCTTACTTGGCTATTTAAAATAAATTGCTACTATGCAAAGAGTACATTGAGGAATGTTCTGTTTGTGACAAGACTACACTTAGATGTGGATTCTGAGTTTGTACTTAGGGAGGTTTGGTAATACAGCCAAAAACTGTATTAACCACATTGATTCCTCTATGATAATAAAAAACAGGTTTTGAATTCTTTATAAAGTTCACATTTACAAAATATTTATCAGTAAATTCTTGCCAACTATCACAAAAATATACTCCTTTAAACACTTGTAAATATTTTCAGAGAGGAAGAGTAGAAGATGTTGTGGTTAGTGATGAATGCAGAGGAAAGCAGCTTGGCAAACTGTAAGTAAGCAGAAATAAGGTAACCCTGTGTACTGTTCTGGTTAGCTTCTTGTTTTTCTGTTTGAAGTTATTTTTAAGCTTCACTAAGTATGAATTCATTCTCATACTGTAGCTTGGGCTGAATTTAGTGAAGAAACAAAGTGGCAGTGTATAGTTTTACCTCAGTTTGAGAACAGAAAAATATACACCATTACCAACAACGACATCTTAAAACTTTTAGTATTTTCATAGTAGTGGGAAACAGACTTGAGAATGTTGCAGATGTGCCAATTCCTCTGTTGTATTTTAAGTGAAAAAAATGTTCAACTGTTGTAAATTGCACAGATTTATTGTCTATTTTATCTCTTTAGTTTTAAGAAATCTACTTAGTAAATTTTAAGTACCAGATTCTAATCTTAGGTATCTGAAATGTTATGAGTGAAGAAAACAGACTGATTTCTATTCTTGTCCATTTAACTCAGTCATAACATTTATAATTTAATTAAAAACTTTAGGATTTAAACCTTTTAGTCTGCTCAAATATGAGAAAACCTTTCAGGAAAATTTTCTGAAACTTTTATTTTATCCCCTACAGGACTTCACATTTTTATTTAGGGTTTTGATTCAAGAATTTGTATATTCTCCTTGGCTTTGTGTCCAACCTTGAGTTATATTTAGGCAAACCTTGAATTAATCTAATCCATATTCTTCATGAATGTTAAAGTACCTTTAAAACAATTAAAGAACAAAGCTTTTATGTACCCATTTTATGTGAGAATGTTCAGATCTTGGTTTGAACAGATTTAGAACAAAGATCTTTAATAATTTTGGCCATATTTTTATACAGGTTGATAAGACTTCATTGTTAACAAAAAATCTTAATTTTCAAAAGGTTTTAGACTGACCTTAAAATTTGTCCTACTTATTAATAGTATTAAAGAATATTTGAGACTAAAATGATTTATAATTTTAATATTTCAGTGAACACATTGATACAGAGCAGGATCTAAACTATTTCTAATAAAAATCAAAGGTTTTTCTCATACAACATTTTAGTGAATTAATTCATGTTTTGGAATAATAAATGCCTTTTCCGTACTTTTTTTTTTAAATTTCAGGTTATTATCAACCCTTACTTTGTTAAGCAAGAAACTGAACTGTTATAAGATTACTCTTGAATGTCTACCACAAAATGTTGGTTTCTATAAAAAGTTTGGATATACAGTATCTGAAGAAAACTACATGTGCCGGAGGTTTCTAAACTAACTCTCCTAAGAGAATTAACAGAGCTGACGTTGCTGCCACCCAATGGCCTCCATGAACACAGCGGAGAAACCCAATGTAATATCCCAAGTATAATGATATTTAGATTACCTTGGGCTGGAGGGATATGCTGAGTTTAGATTATAAATAAATATGGTAAAGGGGATGATTTTTAACCAAATGAATATATTTTTAACTTGAATCTTTTCTTGCTTTGTATTTTTCTAAAGGTCGGCTTAATTTCTTGGTAGTGAGTATGAATAGTAAGGAGCAATGCTGCTCATTTTTTTAAAAAAAACTGACTAAGGCTGTTTCTTACCATATTCATAAAACATACACTTGTGGGTATCATTTCTCACATATTAATTATAGGGTATCGAATCAAATATAGTGCATCTAACATTTGCTGATCCTAATACTGGCAAACAACTTATCAGCCTTTTAAGGAATTATGAAGCTGATAGGATTCAGAGTAAAACAAATGTTTTATTTACCAAAAATTTACATAGTTCTACGTAAAGTGCTACCTATATTATCTGTGAAATAATATTCATTAGAATTATCTAAGAGTGAATTTAAGGGTCATAACAGGTATTTTTTTACGTGACTTAGCAACTCTTGGCATATGTACTTCTACCTTTTTTTAAAATGGGCACTGAAACCTTGCTTTTGGTTAATGTTTTTGTGAAACATGGATTATGTAATTGGTGGAATATTTAAAATTGTTTGGCATTGCATTTGTCACGTCCTTAAAATGTTGATAGCTTTTTCTATTTATTTTAATTATTTTTTTAAGGAATTAAGATACTTTATTAATGGTTCTAATCTTTTGCATTCCATGTTACATTAAACTGTTCATATGAATGACATCTGTTAGAATCTTGGCTGTACTTTGAGTCTCCTATTCAAGTCTGATTTCACAGCATCTTAAGTTTTGTATACTCTTTGTAAAACAAACTTGGAAAGGAAGAACTGGCTACTTCTCATTTCTTAAGTTGAACCACTTCAACTGGATTTTGGATTTTACTAAAAGTTGTTAGTTGAAGTTGACTTTTCAGAACAGTAGAAATCCTTGACTGGTAGGGGGTATATTACTGACCTACACAGATGAGTGCCTAGTGAAATCAACAAAGTGCTGTTGTTTCAGAAGTCCTATAATCTTGGGCATCAATTTCATTAAGTAAATTCTGGTAATTAAAAGCCATGTTAATAAGCATAGTAAAAAGGCTTTAAAAGGTAATGCTGTGTTGTGTTTCTTATAACTGAACTATTTGAGGTAAAATTACCTATAGGTTAGCATGGTAATGCTCCATTCACAAATGCTTTTCTTTGCAGACAGTTTGGTTCACAAACAAAACCATCTGGTAATGTTTTGCTTCCATTTGCAAACTCTGCACTGGGTGATGAACATGACCATCTTCTCGCAAATACTGCAGCAACAGTCCCCAAAATTATAAAACAAATTAAGCTCGTAAATTGAGGGATCCCTATATTTCAATAAATCCACTTGAATTTTTTCTTAAATCTTTACTCTCTCCCCGTAGAAAGGTTACAAATAAGATTTAGTATATAAGTTTGTGCTGAGGAAAACTAATCTTTGGTTTTTAATTAGCAGATGAGTTTATTTCTGAGCCACATTTTAAGTAAACTTGAGCATGAAAAAACTGCATCAGACATGAACTATATCCACATCTCTGAGCATTTTCTTTCTTTTTTTTTTGGTGCTGGGGCTCATGACCTTGTGCCTGCCAGACAAGTGCTTATGCCACTGAGCTAAACCCCCAGCCCCCACTGTTTGCTTCTGAAAGGTGCAATTCGCCAGGGATGGTAGCACACACCTGTAATCCCAGCACTTGGAAGCTGAGGTGGGAGGATCAACAGTCTAGGCTGAAATCTGGGTGAATTTTGTGACCATTGTCTACTACTGTTTAGTCAGTAACATTGTGCTGGGTACTATGTAAAATAATCGTGCTGTTTTGAGGGGAGGTTAAGTTCAGTGAAGCACAGTAGCTAGGCTAAAAGAGGAAGAGGGATACTATGAAAACAGTTTTTTCCACTGGCTGAAGGTGATTCTATTCAAGATGGCATGAGTTCCCTTACTTCCAACTCCAAACTTGCTCAACTAAATCTTGCAGAATACTTTAGCTGGACTTTGGGGCTTGCTTAATCTTGACTATAATTTTGTGTTTCACCAGTGTTTCTCCCTAATCCAGTATTCATTTATCCTTTTTAATCTGTGGGAGCAAAACAGTTATTTCACCCAAAAGACAAGTAAAGAAGTTTGGAGGCAAAAGCCATATGAATGAGCTTTTCAATCTTTGAGGTATAATGGCACAATAGTTTTAATATAACCACCAATCTTCACAAAATAATTTTAATACTTTGTGCCTGAGCTAGCAGCATCTTGCATTGTGACATTCCTATACATACATAAGCATTTACTGAAGTACAAATATTAAAAGTAGAGTAACATAAGCAATTGCCTATACAAGGTAAATAGACACTGTACATTATTCTCTTGAATCATTTTGCTGCATAGTAAATTGCAATTACATGTCAGTATAATGTTACTGATCTATAGATACACTTTGAACTGTGAGGTATGGTAACTCTCTACTGAGAAGAGAGCTTACATGTAAACCTGTATTTAACATGTAAAATATTGAGTGATTTTTTGTTTTGTAGCTGCCATGGATAGGAACAACAAAGGAAATCCAGCATTCAAAGATCCTAGAAACTTATTTTTCTAATGAATAAAAAAACTCTTACCTACTTACTTCCTTACTAGAGCAGTATTGAATGGAAAAAGATAAATTCTGAAGTGAAGCTATCTGAAGTGATTGTTATGGGATTATGGATTAAACCAGTTATTTAAAAAAAAAAAAAAAAAACCACCAGGTAACTGCTCATTTACTAAGTTGAGCTCCTGATATATACATCTCAACTTTACAATTCAAGATTGCAGTTAAATACTTCTAATTCACTTGAATCACCATGGCAATAAGACAATAAGAAACATTATATTTTCTCAAAAAGGACATGCTTAAAGTTTTCTGACGTTATTTCTAAACTCAGATTAAGCACAAAATCCCCCCACCACAAAGTGAATGAATATTCGGCTCTACAAATTGAGTAGTTGCGAGTTGATAGCAAAAGCTGTCATGTTTTAACATTTCCACTGCAGAATAGATACAAATACAGCTAACTATTGTTTAAACATCTAGTAAGAAATTAACATGAACCAATTAGTTAAAATTAGAAAATAACTGGCATTCCAGTTTGAATATTTGCAGTACTGTTTCATACTTTCAAAATGGATAGTAATGCAATTTTCCTATGTTTTGATGCAATTTCACTTCAAATTTTGTGCCCAGAGTACATATTTAATGTTAAAACTGGGTAGTCACTCATACTATTAGTCAAATACTCTAGAAAATAAAACATTGTGATTGGTTAAGTTTATCATAGTTAACTATCACAAAACATCCCTGGAAATAAAAGAATCACAGGAATGAGACCAAGTAACAGGAAAAGCTAACAGAAGAACTAGTTAACGTTAAGTGGACCAACAGATCCAAGAAAAAACAAGTATCAGTGTTTCTTATATGAAAGGATAATACTGTGTTGTGTCCACATTCACTACTACTGTACTCAAGATGATGGCAGTTCCTTTTGCTTGTGTTTAAGAGAAACTGTCTTTAGTATCTAGTGCTGGGCAGGCACTTCAGTGACAACGTAAAAATGATAATGGCTGGAAAAAGTGGAAAATTACCAGCTACAAATTAGTTTCAATAACTAATTTTTAAAAGTTTACATAGAGGCCCTGAACATAGGTTCAGGGCATCTATATAACACTGAGCTACATTCCCAGATTTTTATTTTTGAGACAGGGTTTCACTAAATTGCCCAAGCTGGGCTTAAACTTGAAATCCTCTTGTCTCAGCCTCCTGAGTAATTGCTATTACAGGCATGCCTATTGCAATTGGCACCAAATCTGTATTTTCAGGCATATTTCTAGAAACTTTTTTTTACCAAACTAATTTAAAAAACTCAGTTGCCTAAGTTGTAAAATTTACTTTCATGAAAATTATTTCAAGCAGAGTTTATGCTGCATGAAGTATCACAGGTTGGTTATTATACTGCAAGAGGTATCTTCATTGAACTACCCAGGAATGACATATATACAAAAAGCCATGGCATCCAGTAGGTTTTTACCAACTAGAATTTTGAACAGCCAGTGCAATCTGGATTCCACTGGACTACAAAGATGACCCAATCACACAGTACAAGGACGACCCCCCATGGGTTGATCTGTTGTTTTCAGGGTGGCAAAATAGGAGAAGGGGTGGAAATGAGATCAGAAATATCACATGGGTTAAGAAAAGTAAATTTTTTTTTGGTACTCGGAATTGAACTCATGGCCTTGAGCTTTCCAGGCAAGCGCTACCCTGCCCAGCCATATCCCTGGCCTGAAAAGTTAACATTCATTTTAATTTTCCCTTTTCCATTATGCTAGGTAACAGCTTTTCCTGTATCATTACATCTCAGGGAGGAAAGTGAGCCGGTAACTGGTGTAGCACATTGCCTTGTAAGGTGGACTCAGAAAGATAGGACACTGTTCCATCAGTAAGGAGAAATCTGAAGCGCCTCGAGAGGACCGAGGAGTGAGGTGGAGAGTTTTCTTTGTGCTGCCCAAAGGTCAACTATGGAACTCCTTTTCCCACACATATTCAAAATAACAGCAGTTTTTTTAAAAGTGACTTGTAAGCAGACAAAGATCTATAAAAGTGACTTTGCTAACGCAAATTATGCAGGAAGTTTGAATTCAATGTAAAGAACTGATTAAAACACTAAAATACACAGAATACATGCACAAATCATTTTTCCCAATATTCATCTTCATTTTTAAAGAAAAGCATCTGAGTTGGAACAAGTTCACAGAAACAAGACAATGTGAAAAAGTAAATGCTCCACATTCCAAATAATTTAGTAATGCTTCTTCAAGGTTCACTTTAAACTAAGTTTAAAAACAACAGCAGTTACAAAAAATGTGAAGAGCTTTTCATTGGCCTACTTACTAGTTTAGAGGTCAATGAGGATCTAACTTTTTTTAAGTGATGCAAGGCACTTTTTTGGTGGGGGTGGGGGAGCTTCATTTAGAAAAACAAAAATTTAACAGCTAGGCAGCACTAAAGAACAAATACATTTGGCTTCAAAACAGCACACAGCGAGCGCACACGGGCCACACGGAGGAGGTACTGGGCCCGGGGAGACCCTGGAGGTGGGCTGCTCCAGGCTGCGGTCCAGTGGGGCAGCCTCTGATTTCTGGAGTCCTGCAGTGGAAACCATCACCCATAGCTAGTGAGACAGCGGGACACTGGGCTCAGGCAGGCCTGTAATCCCAGCACCCAGAAGGCTGAAGCAGAGAGGATTCCAAGATCTGCTGAGCCCAGGCTGGGCAACTTAGACCCTGTTCAAAAACCAACGAAAATGAGAATGTAGCTCAGTGGAGGAGGACGGTGGGGACAAGCGAAGGCTCCTGTGCGGGCTGCTCCATCTTGACCTCAGGTGAAACCCTGGTTAAGGGGATCTCCGAGGGCAGTGCGAGTGTTTCCCGCTGGGGCTGCCCTCTGGCTTCACAGCCAAGCCCAGCTGGTGCTTCCACTTTTCTCTGGGAACCAGCGCCAGCTCCTGGAAGTCACTGCCGGGTCTGACACATTGTTCAGCCACCTGGAAACTGCAGTTCCTAACATCCTTGATGTGCAGTTCTCTGGGACCACGGAGGGCAAGTGAAGTCTGCACATAGCCACCATCGCATACATGGTCTCCCTTGGAGATGGCTCTGTCTGGCCACGCTTTATGGAGCAACTAGTCAGCAGATATCCTTTCCAAGATGACCAACATGGGGGACATTTCAGAGGCATTGAGGAGAAGCTGAAGACAAGGACCCTCCAGGAAGGTCACCCCTACACTGCGAAGCTTCTGGGAGGAGCTGGAGCACCCTCTGCTACTCCACAGCTCACAGACTCATTAACGATATTTCTGGCCACTGGCTCCCTGTCCAAAAGCTGCAGCCTCTTCAGGAAGCTGTGGGTGTCCCAGGAAGAACCCGATCACCAGGGCTGCAAGGACGCTGAGCTCATCAGAAAGAGGGCAGCAGATCCTCCCGTGGGACCGGATGCATTTGAAGCAGTGGTGCCGTGCTGGTGAAAGCCACCGCTGGACAAATGGGGGACTGCAGAGAGCCTCTTCTTCGCAGTGGGGCAAATTTCTGAGATGACAACAGGAAACACAGCAAGCTGGCTGTCCTATTTTGAGGACGATACGCTGTTTAAGAACTCAGTATCGAGATTTATGCACTTCTGGCCTGCAATCCCAACACTTGGGTGGCTGAGGCAGAAGGATCATAAATTGGGAGGCCAGCCTGGACTACTTAGCAAGACCTTGTCTCAAAAATCCAGAAGTTTATGCACTTTGAAAGAAAAAAGAAATTAGGAAAGTTACTTGAAAATCTTAATGTTACCTTTGATTTTGAACATCTGGTACCATAAAGCAATACATCTTTCTTTGATCATTAAATCCCCCCCCTTTAAGAATAAGCCAATTAAGGTAACAGGAAGCATTAATTGGATTAAGTAGAATAAGGATAGCTGATTAACAAGGGGTCAAAAAGTTTAAAAAATTGGTCATTAATTTATTGACTTATCCTAAGAAAGTGGTAGATTCCTGCACTTGTTATATTGGTTTCCATCATAAAATGTAACTAAAATTATTTTCTAAATGTAATATATAGAACACAAAATGAATTTATAGCAAACCTTAGGAAATTCTTTTGTTATAAATTACCCAAAATTGATAAACAAATCCCCCCTAACTTGATTTTGTTTAAAGTAATAACTTTATATCATACAAATAAATTTCAAGTATGAAAAGTGCATTATTGCAATAATAACTCTTTGCAAGTCCAAAATTCTTAGTTTATAATAAAACTGTAAAGTTAAGAAGGAAAAAAATGAGTAAAACCACCAGTGCCATCTACTGCAGAAGTCCAACATCTTCTTAAAATGTTGCTTAACAAGTTTTTGCAGAGAAACATGTTTGGAGGCAGCATGTAACTGAAAAGAAACTACTTGTGTTTACACCACTTTACAGTATCATCATCCTTAGTATTTTCTCTTTCAAACAGAAATTCACACTTTTTACTCTTGAGTCAGCCATTCTGGGCAGCTGCCACCTGCATGTTTCCAAAATCATCCTCCTCTTCATGTGTTCTCTTCAAACTGCCTGAAAGTTATTGAGTGAACATAAAATGGAAATTCAGTAAATTCATGTCAGAATGTAACAGCCAGTGAAAATTTGTCATAAGTGATTCTATGCACATAAGATAATCATGATTCAATTTATGGCAAACTTTTAGCAAGTTTATTGGAAATTACCCAAATAACTTTTAACCTTATGTCAAACTATATTTTCTGTACTGAAAATTAAATTATGCAGTTCTTTTTTTTTTCTTATCGGTACCGAGGATCGAACTCACGACCACACACTTGGCAAGGCAGGCACTCACGTCGCTGAGCTAAATCCCCAGCCCCAGTGCAGTTAATTCTTAATATTTTACATATCAAGACAGGGTCTGGCTATGTAGTCCAGGCTATCCTTGGATTCACAGCAATCCTCCTGTCTCAGCCTCCCAAGTGCTGGGATAACAGGCATGTGCCACCACACCTGCCTCAAAAATTGTTTGCTGGCCAGGGTACCAAAAAAAAAAAAAAAGAAAAAGAAAAAAAATAGAGAAATAAATAAAATTTTGTTTTGGTGCCACTTGCCAGGCAGCTTGTGCCACTGGGCGATATCCCTGGCCCCTCAAAAATTGTTTTAATGCAGTGTGAAACTAGCACTTTGGAGGGGGGGTACCAGGGATTATCTCACAACTTCACACTTGCCAGGCAGGCACTTATGCCACTGAGCTAAATCACTGGCCCAAAACTAGCACTTTTCAGAAGCTGAATGGCATCCAGAGTTTGGTTACCAAATTTATGCTTTTTAGGCATATGAATGTGTAACTTAGGGCATAAACTTCTAGAAACTAATCATAATTGCATGTATTTTAAACAGAATTATCCTTTAGTTTTCATAGATGCTATGAAAAGCAGCTACAAGTATTGTCCCACTGAACCTGCTGTTTTATTATCAACAAGTCTATGGTGACAGAAAGGAAGGCAGGAGGCAGGCAATACAAAAGCTTCCCACACAGAATCAAACCTGTACTAATGTCCTAAACAGTTATGTTCAGGAAATATGAATCTGTATAGAGAACAGGAGACCTGACAGAGTCTGTTGTGTTCTGTACCTGACAATGGCATGGCCTCAAATTCATGCCCTGAAGGTTGTATTAAATCACACTAATAATGTTAATGCATGCATGCAACTCCCAATACAAAACTCATGTTTCACCAGAAGATCAAAACAGTAAAAATAAAAATATACTGTCGATACAATGGAAAAAAGTACAACTATCCCAGTCACAGGGCTAAGCACAGATGCTGTGATGGGTGTCAGTGAAGAACTGTACTGCTAAGGGACTCAGAAGGAAGAGGGATCAGAGGCAGAGAGCATTGTGCATTACGTTTTCCCGAGGAAATGACAGTTCATGTACAAAAACAGGAAGGCTGGGGCGGGGGTTTAGCTCAGCAGCGTAAATACCTGCCCTACAAATACAAGCTCATTAGTTCAATCCCATTTTCTTGGAAAGCAGATATAAAAAGGACAGAGAGACACTAATTTAAAAAATCGGAAGAGCCTTTATTACTTAGGGTAATCTATACATTTTCTTCTGTAGGAATAAAGTCAAGTAAAGGCTTTGGCAAAGGAAAAGAAGTCTGGTCACGATGTACAAAACAGACAACGTAAGTTCAGGCAGCAGACAAACATGGACCTGACCAAGGCTGAGATTAAGAGTACTATAAAAAAGAAGGAATTTAAGAAATATTGAGAAAAGAGACCCAGTAGGATTTACAAAGTGACTCATAGAGGCAGTAAAGAAAAGGAAAGAATCAGTAATAACTGGAAGTTGAACCTAAGAGGTGATTGTGTGGCTGTATTACCTGAAGAAGAGCATTTCAGTACAAAGTGTTTTAGACTTGTGGACCAAATCACCTGTTCTCATATTCCAAGTATAGAACCTGTTCTTCCTACCTCATAATGCTGCGGCTTCAAAAGAAGACTGAAATAAACAGGGCTAGAGAAACTGAGGTGCTGTGACTACTTTGTCTAGTAGGCTAAAACAAAAGCAACAACATTTTTTTTTAAAAGAAAAAATTCTTACCTGTCGTACCAGAATGAACAGATAAGGACCTTTCTATCTGGAGTGGCGACATCATCTGTATTGTTAATTTTGCAAGGTAGATGGCTTCATATTCCTAAAAAAAGATTTTAATTTACTTTAACATACATCTTCATTCTGATACCAAGAAGTGAATGTGTTCATTGCTGAAGTTTTAAAATTTGTATTGCACAATTGCCAATCACTGATAACTATAAATCAAGGCATGCTAATAGCCTGTACTGGCATATCACACACTGGACTGGCAGTCAGTAAAGAGGGGCATTAGCTGTAATGACCTCTAATTCCATCTGTTAAGGAGGAAAAAATAATCAAAAACTTAAATCACCAACCTCATTAATAAATCTAAGAAAAAAAATGAAATAAAATATATTCAAGTATTTATTTGGTTATCTAATTCCTTAGCAATTGTATGCCTCCAGTTAAAGATGGAACAATAAAGGCATTTCTGTAACTGTTCCCTTTCTGAAAACGAGGACTATATTTGTGATAGAATTTTTGGCATGGCTAAAAAGATAGAAATATGAAATAAAAGTGGCCTTTATTTTAAGAATGTAGAGAGAGAAACCTGTATCACCACCACCAGCACTAAGGTCTGGCTTTCTCTCTGCCGGGCACAGTGTTGTTGGGGGCATGCATATAGCTTAGGTCTGGGGTGGTGCCTAAGGGGCATTACTGATGCACAAGTAGCCCACTGGAATTCAAGCCACAGGTAAACTGCCTAGGGGCAGGGAAGGTGGCCTCAAGATAGAGCCCCTTGGTTCCACCTCCCAGCCTCCCACCGCTGCAGCGTCCCATTTAGGGCAAAATCCTTTCAATTTGATAAAACTATGAAATATCCATAAATTCAGGAGGAAAGTAAGGAAAGGGTTCTCAACAGGCCAGGATAGTTACTTTCATAAAAGAATGACTTGTGCATGGGAAGGGGCATCAAGAGGGAATCTGGGTCCAGGTTATGTGGATGTTTATATTGTTTGCATTTTCTATAGGATATTTTGTGGTACATTTTTTAAAAAATAGAAACACTGAGCTGGGTACATAAGATGCTTGCTTCTGCAACTTTCTCAGGCACTTTAAGTACAGTTCACACTTTCCAAAAATGGTAGCAGACCAAAGAGAGATCCAACAAGCCTTTGAATGCTATGATAGCCATTTAAGTATTAGTGAGCTCTGGAGGAAGGACAGTGGGACACTTACCTTTTTTTTTTTTTTTTTTTGGTCTTTTTCCTTTTTATTGGTACCGGGGATCGAACTCACGACTACCTGCTTGCAAGGCAGGCACTTATGCTGCTGAGCTAAATCCCCAGCCCCGACACTACTTTTGCAAGCAGCAAACTATCAGGCACATAAGGTGAAAGGGAATCTGAGTGGCATGTGGCATGCCACCTGCTGAGCTTGCTCAGCTAATAGTAAAAGGTAAAGAGGTAAATCGAAAGCCTGGCTATGTGTGACCATCACCTAGGCACTTCCCACCCTCCCGAACTGTGAGGAAAAACATTATCTTTAAATCACAAAGGCTCTGGTATTTTGTTATGGCAGCCCAAGCTAAGTTGATGGCATTTCTGAAGTCAATTCAAAGAACAGATAAAAGGACTCATAGAAGGCTATGACAACAGACATGATATTGTTAATCATTCAAACTCAACAAAGAAACAAAAGAGAAGAAACAATGACTAATACAATCAACAAAGGAGAACAGAACATGGTATGCAATTTAGGCAAAATAATTTTCCCTTCTCCTGGGCCATTCCAATTAGTATGCTGAGTAAAACCCTCTTAACCCTCCTTCTCCTTCAGTAACTACTTCATTTCTGCTTCCCTTTCAAGGCAACATTCCTAGAATTGACTATGGCTAAAATTTCTTTCTTCCCATTTTCCCTTGGAAATCTGCACCTATGCTTATCCTTCCCACTCCACAGGAACTCTGTCAAGGAAATCAATGACCTCATATTCTCTGAGGGTTCACTCCTTCCTTTTAAAACAGCACCTTCACCTGACATTTCAGACACCAGCCTATCCTGATTTTCTTCCTACTTTGCTGGCCTTTCCTTTTGAAGCTCCTGCTAATTCATCTCACCAATCTCTAGGTTTGAGTATACAGGGCTCTATCTTTGAATTCTTTTTTATCTCTACTCACTCCTAGTGATCTCACCCAGTTTCAGAGTTTCCAATTGTCTGTGTACACGGAATTCCTTGCCTTGTACTTCACTTGTATGTTCCTGACAGCCCTCTCCAACTCTGCATGTACAAATCACCTCCTAATGTAAATAGAGTCCCCCGCGGCTGGGGATTAGTTCAGCTGCATAAGCGCCTTCCTGGCAAGTGCAAGGTCGTGAGTTTGATCCCAGGTACCACAAAAAAAAAAAAAAAAAAAAAAAAAAAATTAAAGTAGCTTCCCGCAGTAAGGAGCAATTGGTCCTCCAGTTGCTCAAGTCAAAGGTTGATGCTCTCTATCCTCAGTCTCTTTCTTATTTTGTTAGTACTTGGGACGGAACTCAGAGCTTCATCTAAGCTACATCTTCAACTTTTATAAAATTTTTATTTTGTGATAGGGTCTTGTCAAGTTGCTAAGTGGCCTAGGCTAGACTTGAACTTTTGATCCTCCGGCTTCAGCCTCCCAGAGTGCTGGGGTTACAGGTGTGCACCACCACACTAAGCTTAGGTTCAGCATTTTCCTCTCCTTTTTTGAACGTGTATCTAATCGAGCAGTAAATGCTGACATCTCTACCTGCAAACCCTATCTCTTCTCAACTCTTCCGCTACTACCGTTTGGCTACAATTGAACACTCTGACACTTATTATGGCAACAACCCAACCAGCCTACTTGCTTCTGTCTTTGCTCTCAACTCTCTGTAGCTATCACTCAAGCAGCCAGAATGATGCTGTAAGATTCAATATTCCTCTTAAAACTGGAAGGCCTCACAAAACAATCCCTCTCAGCTCTAATCTCTTACTATCTCATCTGCTTACTCTGCTCCAGACAACTGATCTCACAGTTCTTTGAAAACACTATACATATGCCAACCTCAAGACACTTCCAGTTATTATTCCCTCCACCAAGATATTTTCCCCGGATATTTTCATGATTTATGTGTTTACTCAAATATCTTTCTCATAAGGCTGGCTTGGGCAAAATAGAAAACCTTATGACAAAAAGCCAAAAACAAACAACCCTGCCAAACCCTCAGATTCCTTCCAATAAAGGTGATACCAAATAAGAACTCACTAGTAAAGTTCTAGAAAGGACACTAATGAAAGAATCCTGAACAAATAACATAAATTATATGAAAATCACAGTATTTGCAATTCTGCCAGGTGTGGCCTAGAATCTCAGTTACTTAGGAATCTCAGGCAGGAGGGCTACTTGGACCCAGGAGCTTGGAACCAACCTGGGTAAAAGAGCAAGACCCTGTGCCAACAAAAAACAAAACAAACCAAAAACCTGTTTCACACTACTTGCAATAAAACAGACCCATAAAAGAGATCCACACTAACAACAAAACAGATCCATTTAAGAGACAAAAGTCCAGAAACAGCCCCAAGTACAGATGACAATATATACTAATAAAAGTAGTACTGCCACAGTTTGGAAGATAAATGTCTCACAAAGGCCCATGGGTTAAGGCTTGTTCCTCACAGTGGCACCACTGGGAGGTAGTAGAGTCCTCGAGAGGTAGGGCCTAGCAGCAAGTACTGTTTTTAGACAACTGGAGGTGCACCTGGATAGACTTGTGCAAATCCAGCCTGGTTCTTGTTCTCTTTGCTCCCTGGCTGGTGACACAGGTATGTTTGCTCTGCCACACTCTACCATGGTGTGGTGCCTCTCCACAGGACTAAGCTGCCAGGGCCAATCAGTCACAGACTGAGCCCTCCAAAACCTTTCCTTCTCATGAATTGCTTAGCTCAGATATTTGCTTAGATATTAGCTCAGAAATTTCCCCAGGAACTCAGATTAGAAGTGTGTACAACCTTAGCTGCTATAAGCCATAACTCAAAAAATACTCTTAATAGAAATGTAAACTTGAATAACTAAGTCATGCTTATGAAAATTCTAAATTCCACACTTAAGTGACATGGACAAAAAATTTTACATTCTGACTGCCTTAAAGAGAAAGAGCTTACCTGAAGTTGATGGACAAATCCAGCATTAGGATTAATACAAAATCTTCTTTCTTGCACGTAAGCAAATGCATCTCTAAAAAGGCAAAGATAATTAATAAAAAGACATTGTCTCATGAATTAATCCTATTTTTCAGACTCAATTTCTCTAAGTTTCATTGGTAAAATATATGTAGTACATCTGTTATACAGTATATGCTCAATATATCATCACTGGTTAAAGAACATGGTAACACTCTATGTTGTTGTGAGGCTCAAGTAAGATCAAATTACATGGAACAGTCAGTATTGGGCACGATGGAATTAAAGGAAGTTATTTTCACTATATTATTGACAAGATTCCAAATAATATATGGAATATTTAAAAAAGGTAAAGTAAACAATGCATGGTAAATGTTTTTCCCTTTAACCAGCAAAGCATTTGAATTAAAATATTTAAGAACTGACACTGTCAATGACAAATTTCTCACCTGTGCAAAACAGAGAAAGGTAGTATTGAACACTGGCTAGGTTTTGCTCTTTGGGGTCAAAAAGATCTTTTAAAGAAATCTATGTACTATGCCTGGCAAAGATTGTTTTTAATACTCTCCTGAATTATGAATAGATGCTACTGACAATTTCCAAGTTACTTTTCACTGGACAACTAATAAAGGAAAACAATGTTTGTTTTTAAATAAAGCAAACATTAACTTCAAATATCCAACCATTTTTACTAAATGTCATTTTAATGAGAATTTAAACTGTGGGTAGGTTTTAATGTACTGCTTACCTGTATTTCATCCCAAATGTTTCCATAATGTATGCAATTACAAAGGCAGCACTAAAGACAAAGGAGAAAAATTTCAGAAAACGCACTAATTAGGTGATAGAGAAAGAAAGACTATCTGTAACTTCATACCTTCTGGAGATTCCTGCATTTCCATGGACAAGAACTTTTCCTGAAAAAATAAGAAATCGTTATTCTCAGAAAAACACTTAAGCCAGCAGCTGAAATACACTGAGAACCATTGAAACCACAGCTGTCTTTATCATATACATAGCAGTTAGGTTATCTACCAATTTTCAAATCTTTAATTGTATAGGGAATATGTCAGACTTCTAAATGAAAATATAAACTTGGGACTATTCTATTACATTTAACTACAATTTTCATATCTTACACATTTATTACCAACTTAAAATACTAATATAAAAATAACCTCAAAATAAATACTAACTAATTATAAGAAATATGACTTACCTCCAGTTTGTAAGCTGCCATCTATAAATTCCTTAGTCTGAAGACAAAAAGACAAAGTTATAATAAATACGCAGATTAACTTAAGCATAAAATAGTGAAAAAACTAATTCTACAGGAAATCATTTCTTGCTAATTTATGGAATAAAAATTATCTTAATTCAAAATTTCTAAAGCACTACAAATACAACTATTAAAAGCTTTTTTAAAAGTATGTGCAGAAGCTGAACTTAATTTGAAAAAGCTCATAGATCATTTATTGCCTTTTAAAAAAAGTAACTGCCACAGTTCGATAACAAAGTAAAAATAGTAACTTTTAGGACCACAATTAAGAGATAAAATCATAAGTAAATTTTAAATGATACTAAAATATTGACACCTACCATAGGGAAAAAACGTATTATATTTTCCACTGGATTATCTGCAATATCCAAGACTAAATATCTGAAAATAGAACAGGTTGTGATAAGTACTTTCAGATAAAATTCATATTCATATTTAAAAAACCTGACTATTTCTTGGTAACCATAAAAAGAATAGAAAAATAATTACCCAAGTATCACATTTCCAAGAACTGGGTTATAGATCTTTTATGTTCCCTGAGGGAACAATATTTAAACCCTTAAATAACATGTTATCATTTCTCTATATTTTAGAATAAAAAACCCCATCTGGTTAAAACAGAAAAATCACAAGCAGAAAAACACTTTCCTCTAGGTAAGAGCAGAGATAGGAAATAAATACAAAAAAATTCTTATTACCTTCAATAATTTTTCTGATAGAAACTTTAGAAAATTCAGGGCTTAACAGAGATGCTAAATCCGAGGATTCAAGAAAAACCCACTGTATAAACCACAAAGATTGTGACAATGACTGCATCTTAAGTTGGGCAGACCCACCTACAGACACTATTTTGAATACCAAGAACTACCAGAACTATTAGTCTGTAAGAAACCAGTATCATTAAGTCTGAGGAATGATGGTTCTTCATTAGGATAAAGAACCAGCAACTAGAATATTTTTTTAAACCAAAAACCAATTATTGTATAAAAAACTAGAAATGAACAGCATGACATTGTAAAATACAACATTCTCTGGTCTGGGGATATGGCTCAGTGGTATGGCTCTTGCCAAGCATATGGAAACTTTGGCTTTGATTTCCTTTTTCATACATGTATATAAATGTGTATATACACAGTGTATACATGGAACACAGTAAGATTTGTAAGTATACCAAAATACTAACTGAAGAATTTTCTCTGGAAGCAGATTATGAATGGTTGCTAAATATTTTTCTTGTTACCATTCTACACTTTCCTAAAAACAGAACAAGAACTTTTTTGAAAGTCAAAAAAAACCAAAACAATTCTAGCAGTATAGCCCAGTGTAGTGGTGACACAAGGCTGTAGTTGCAGTTACTCGGGAAGGCTCAAACAAGAAGATCATTTGAGCCTAGGAGCATGGGGCCACAATGTAGCACCTTAATAAAAAATGAACACTATGAAATTATACACAAAGAAAGATAGGTCCTTTTATCATTCTAGATCTCCAATTTTTCTTCTCAGAAGCATGGACTGTACTATAAAGTTTTTCCTCTGCGGGTCCCAAAATTTTCAATATATACGTATATTTTTAAATACACTGGAAATTTAATCTAGTTCCATACTTTTTCATACAATCAATCAAGAAGACAGTAACAAATCATCATACAAAGATATAGTTCATTCTTTTTCATGGTTGTGTGGTTCACACAAACATACTTTGGAGGGCACTGTATTTATAAATATTTAAGAGATTGCATTCACTTGTTTTTTGTTTTTGTGGTACTTGAGCCAGGGCCTTTGCACCAAGCAACATCCTCAGTCCCTTTTATTTTCATTCTGACATGTGGTCTTACTTGATTGCTAAGTTGCCCATGCTGGGCTCCAACTTGTGACTTTCCTACATAAACTTCCCACAGTGCTGGTGTTACTATACCCAGCTTGCATTCATTTTGATAAACAACAGGGAAAGTATAAAAAAAATTTTAACTGATGCTTTTATACAGAAATAGGATATTTCTAGAAATATACTAAAGACAGTCAACAGTAGCTGCCTCCCACGATAAAACTGAGGTGGGCTTATGCATACTTTAATCATGTGCAACATATTGTTTTAATAATGAATTTAAAAGAATATTTAAAATCATTAAATATTCAACTGTACCTATTTTAGTATAGTCATCCTATAACTTTGTAAGTACTGATATGAAGCAATTGCCAAAAAATTAAGTTGAAAAATTCTCTGTAAAAAACAAAATTTATCTGCTTTTTGCTGGGTATGGTGGCACACATTGTAATCACAGGACTGTAGGAGCCCAAGCAGAAGACTGCAAATTTTAGCCCAGCCTAAGTAACTTAGTGACTTAGGGAGAAGAGTAGATGCTTCTAGGTATAGGAACTATGTGTCTAGGAGATACCAAAAGGAAAACTTATTTTCAGTACATATTCTTTTAAACTTTTAAATTCTTCATTATGAAAATAATTTAAACATTTTAAATAAACTTCAGAAGTTATGTACCACATAGCCCATCTTTACAAGATAAATATGTAGCTTTTTATATAACATAAGGCAAAATGAAAACTGTATTATGTTTACTTTCAGTATTTTTTATATATCACATCAATGATTCTTACCTAAATAACTGCTGAAAATTTGGTTTGATGAAGTTTGCTTCAATATTTTGTCGTATGCAAATTATATGAGTTATTCCATGTTTCTGTAGTATAGGTAACTATAAAAAAAGGGGGAGGGGGAGAGACAGGGAAGAAGAGCCATTTAAAACACAAATAATTTTATTGTAACACATTCCAAAATATGTAAGAACTACTTCTGAGCCAAGCATAGAGGGTTAAAGCTAATTTTGTGATAATTTGCTTAAAATCATCAGCAAGATAGTTCAACGACTCAAGATTAACACTTTAATTGTCTTCACAAGGCTAACAAGGTAATTTCATGTCTACAATTCTAGAACCTGATGGGATCTTACAGACAATTTACTTAGAAAACAGCCTTATACAGTGGTTAAAAGTTAAGGGAATTGGCATCATGAGAATTCAAGTTACACACTGCAGCGCTGCTAACAGTGTGACCTCATTCTCAGTTTCACTGTGTGAGAATGGGAAAAAGGCTATTAACTTGTTGACTGTGACAATTACGTAAGATAATAATTTGAAACTTCATGGCACGGGTAAGTTCAATAATTACTTGTTTGATAAATGAGCAAATCATGTGGTATGAGAAATCAGAATAACCCTGCATTTTCTATGGCACCTTCAATTTATAATTCTCAATATTTTGTTTTCCACTTTCTGCATTAAATAGACTAGAACAATAGTACTAATAATTCATGACAATAGCCATTAATTTGTATGTGTTATGAATTGAGTTCATGCTCCCTTCCCAAGATTTATATGGTAAACTCCCAAATGTGGTATTAGGAGGCTGGGCCTGTGGGAAATAATTAGGCTTCAACAAGGTCATGAAGTAGAACCTGCAGGAGAGATGAGGACCCTTAGAAGAAAAGAGACAAGGACTTGCTCTGTAGACCATATGAGAATGCAGCCAAGCAGGCAGGGTCTGTGAGCCAGAGGAGGGCACATATGAGAACTGGATGGATTTAGGTTAGGCTCAAATCTGCCCTCCTCTTTTAGCCTTACAGAATGCTGGGAGGACATATATGCATCAACATGCCTAGCTTGATTTTTAAATCTTTCAAACTCAGACATCCTGAGAAAAATAAAACATACAACCTCATATTTATAGGTGTGATGGGGTATATCTGTCACCCCAGCACTCTGGAAGGCTCAGACAGGAAGACAACAAATTTGTGTCCAGCCTGATCAACTTAGTGAGCCTAGTCTCAAACCAAAACAACAACAAAAAAACAAGGTGGGAGTATAGCTCTACAGTAGAGCACTGCCTGACATGTACTGGGTTTGATCCTCGGCACTACAAAATAAAGAAAATTTACTAAAAATAAATCAGTAAAAGCCTGGTGATATAGCACAATAATCTCGGGGTTTAATTTCTGGTGCTATAAAAAATATTCATTTTAAAAAAACCTCTGTTGTAATGAAACTTTTAGGAGCTACTGGTCCAATGAAATGGAAGAGGCAGGTACTAGATAGTGGTAATTACTGTTAATACATAGTACTTGTGAATGCTCCCTAAAATAAAAACCATGTTACTAAAAAACTTACCAGAGAAAGCTGGTTACTAAAATCTCTTGGTGAACGTAACCTAAAGTTCTTACCTTGCTTTTCATAGCAGAAGAATATGGGCCTAGGAATAATCCAGGTAAAATTTCCTAGCAAGAAGGGAAAAATAAAATCCCCATTAGCAATTTCAATTTATATCACATGTGTGTGTCACATCATTAGATTTATGGAGTGTTTTCAGTTATAAAAATTTGCTTAAAAGTTTGTCATTTGGGGAGCATTTCCTAGCTACACCGAGCAAATGACTAGAAAGAGAAATGCAGATGTGCCTCATAATGGTAAGGGAGATATTTTAAGCTTAAATGTAGTTCTGAAAAGGCCAATATTTGAACTTCCATAGTGCGTTTTATAAGCAGTTTGGGTAATAAACACTGTATCACTGCTTTTAGATTAATACAATCTCCCTAATATCACTTCTACTCTCTAAATTCTAAAAATTAAACAGGCAGGAAGAAAATCATTACTTTGGGGACTGGGGATTTAGCTCAGCGGCATAAGCACCTGTCTTGCAAATAGGCAGTCGTGAGTTCGATCCCTGGTACCAATAAAAAGGAAAAAAGACAAAAAAAAAAAAAGAAAATCATTACTTTGGAATTATCAAAAGTAGCACTAGAGGGACTGGGGATTTAGCTCAGTGGCCTAAGTGCCTGCCTTGCAAGCGTGCAGTTGATCCCTAGTACCAAAAAAAAAAAAAAAAAAAAAAAAAAAAAAAAAAAAAAGGTAGCACAAGATACAACAGTGTTAGAACTCTTATCTCTACTTAACAGGAGCAAACTAATTATGATTACCTAGTTACCTGGATATGAGACTGGTTTGCCCACCAGCTTCTTTTACTCAGACTTTACCTTTTACTCATTTTTGTCCCACAGCACCAAGTAAAATGCCTCAGATGTACTCAGATATTTTCTTAAAAGTTAATTTTCACTGATGAAAATGCCTATTTAAAAGTTCAGAGAGGGGCTGGGGATTTAGCTTAGCAGCATAAGCCACCTGCCTTGCATCCCTAGTACCAATAAAAAAAGAAAAAAAAAAAAAGTTCAGAGAGCCCCAGAAATGAGAAACATGACTTGGTCCTGAGGTGAGTCATACTGACTGCAGATGGTACCAAATGCAAAAGAAGAGCAACAACTATGAGTACTGGTTATCATTTTAATTCATACTAAACTGAAAGTACTCTTCTGGGGACTTCATTACAAATGCTGGTTGGACAGGCACAAAAATGAACAACTAGTCTTATTTGCTTAAAAGTCAACACTATACCTACCTAAACTAAACAAATAGCTAACTGCTTTCAAAAAGGAACACAAATTTAGTATTCATTTTTCAGATGAAAGTGACTCTTAGGCATGCATACCCACACATTAAAAAGTCACTATTTAAAATATTTAGTGATGAACCTATAAACCATAAACCAACAGGTCTCAAATCATTCATGAAATTAGGTTATTTATATAATGAGTTGACTTGAACAAACAGAAAGTTTCCATACCTGCATCTCTCGCCTCATAGGGTAGGTCCACTCCTTTACAAAGGAAAATACAAGAAGAAACGTAAGTAACAAGAAAAAAATGCCACCCAGTGAAAGACCAAAGATGCAACATACAAAAAATAGATTTTTAAAATTACACTTAAATAGAGCTGAAGATGTAGCGCTGTGGTAAAGGGCTTTCCTAACATGCAAGAGGCCCTAGGTTTGATCCTCAGCACCACAAAACAAAAAACTTTTAAAAACTAGTATGTTGGTGATCAAAGGCAGATTATTATTGCCTACTGTAGGGTGGAGTAGGAGATGTCTAGAAATAGTAAGAGTTAATTTCTGTGTTGACAGCACAATCTGACAAAAAAGACAGACTACATAACAGAGGAAAGAATTAAGACTATTCCTGACTTCTCAAGTGCAAGAACAGTAAGACAGGAATAATTCATTCAAAACTACAAAATAATCGTCATCAAGAGTATATGCTCAGGGGCTGGGGATTTAGCTCAGCGGCATAAGCGCCTGTCTTGCAAGCAGGGAGTCGTGAGTTCAATCCCTGGTACCGATGAAAAGGAAAAAGACAAAAAAAAAAAAAAAAAAAAAAAGAGTATATGCTCAGAAAAATCAGCTTTCAAGAACAAAAGTAAAAGAAAAAATGATTAATACAAGCAAATTTTTATTAAAAGACCTCTTAAAAGATGTTCTTTAAAGAAAAGGTACTATCATTATGTTGAATTTTTAGGCAGAGAACCTTGAGAGACCAGGTGGTCTGAATCTAGACTTCATTCTCTTAATCACTATACTTTCAATAGAAGGAGAAACTTTATGATAAATATATTTAAACAAATATGACTGTATGAAATAATAATGACTTGACAATTAATAGATTAGAAATAAAAGCCTATGATTTCCAAGCTACAAGGAAAGATATAATCAAACTGAATGTTTACCCACCTGCCTCTTTAACTAAGATGACATATTTTAGCATAAGAAAGTTTTTAAAAACTTAGTCCAAATACTCCTTTTTAATCATATTACACCTAACAATGAGCACAGTGCCTTAGAACAAGCACACAATAGATGTGCATTATAGAGACCTACAGCACTAAATTCCAAAGATCTTTTTTTCCTTTTCTAAAAAGATTCAAGAAATCTAATAGCCACTTTTCCTGAAACAACTTGTTACAGCTATTAGACAGAAAAAAAGGAGTTAAATGAAATGTGTACTTCTGAGCTTAACTAAAATGAAATCATTAAAGTGTATGTGATTAAAAAAAAAAAAAAACAGGGCTGGAGGTGTAGCTCAGCGGTAGAGCATGTGTGAGGCCCTGGATTAGATCTCTAGTAGTATAAAAAAAAAAGCCAAAGCCCATGGAAACATATATAAATAGCATATATATATTCTGGGAAACATTTGTGAAGAGAGAAGACTTTCTAACCTATGATGATTTATTTCATATCTGCATTTATAAATAAAAGTACAACAGGGAGATTAACAGGAGAAAAGGTATGCAAATATACTAAGTGCTTGGAGGTAAAACCAAAGTACTAGTGAGATTTAGGAGCTTACACACTTTCTACATAGGTGAGAAAAGAGGCGGGTACAGGCAGCTTAGAACAAAGTAAGTGATTCTGAGGAAAGGCCTTGGGAGAACAGATGATGGTCTGCCACCAAATTTGTCTGGGTATGGTGTCCACTTCTACTCTTCTCTGCAAAGTCAATCATCCACCGTTGAAAAAACACCCAGGGAAAGAAGTGGTGGCAAGGGATTTCTTTTCAGAGGATCTTTTGTAAACAGATAAGGGGAGTTCAGAGAAAGCCACTCCCTGCATTTGGTATTTTTTTTTCAGGAGCCTTAAACCCAAAGGTAATCGACATACCAGCACAATAGACTTTGTGGTGGCATTTCTAGAACTCCTTCAATTTGGAGTGCCAGAAGGAACTCAAAGCCACAGAACAAATGTGCCTTTTTTTTTTTTTCTGCAATACTCATTGTACCAAGAGATAGAGAGGGGGTATTTTCACTGGCTAATAATTTAAACTTTTTACATTAAAATCACCATGAACATACAGAATACAGTGGACCGTTGCATGGTGAGAGTATGGAAATTTACCCCTAAGCACAGGGCAGATGAGCATGCAGCCTTATTCAGGAAGCATGACTTTGCTGTAGTAAGTATGATCCCTTGAAACCCAGAAGTTTAACCCGAGAGAAAATTTCAGTGGGAAATCTTCCCACTGCCATCATCAATTCCCGACCCCACCATGTGCTGTGGTGTGGGTATGGTTTGAGTGTGGCTGCCAAGGTTCACGCACTGAAATGCATCCCGACTGTCCTGTACTAACCTGACTGCAGTGTTTAGAGGTGGGGGCTCTGGGAAGTGATTGGGCTTAGCTAAAATGATGATTAGGGTGGACCCTGAGGACAAGGCCTGAAGGCAGACCCACACGTGTGTAAGTGTGTGTGTGTGTGTATGTGCGCGCGCGCCCTTGCTGCACAATGACCATCATCACCCTGCAATTCTCCCAGCAAGAAGGCCACCACAGACGCAACCCTTGACTTTGCACCTCCAGAACCACGAGCCAAAACAAAGCCTCTTTTCCTTACAAGCAATACTGTATTACTGGCAACAGAAACTGAACTAACATACTATGATTATGATGTTGGCCTACAGAATAGACCGTAAATCTGCCTTGTGCATTGACCTTGTGGTATTGGATCTAGATTTTAAAGGGTATCAATGCTCACTGTCTTCTTCTACTAGGTATCTACCTGAAAATTTTTCTAAAACCAGGTCTTAACTGTATCTCCTCCTCTTACCTGCTCCCTGCCTCACTGGTGCTGAGAACTGAACCTACAGCCCGTGCCCCAGAGACTACCACTTCACCACTTACCCTCTTAGCTACAGCCCATCATACTCATGAATTTCAGCCTGCACATGCTGCTCCTAAAACCCATCCTCGTCCAGTTTGTAGCTTTAATGGTATAAGCTCCTCTATTTACTGCAGGTGATTCAGTGGGATCAATGTGCCAAACTTCTGCTCTTGGCCCAGAATTCCAACCACAGTCATTCAACCAAAGCAAGCCAGGCAAGCCAAAAACACCCACAGCTGTGACATTAACCATGGTTTTGACAGGAACTATTTCATAAGCCAGGCACAGTGCCATATGCCTGTCCCATCCCAGCTACCTGGGAGGTTGAGGTGGAAGGAGCATGATTTGAAGGCCAGCCTGGGTAATCCCAGAGATGCCATCTCAAATTAAAGAATGAATGAACAAAATTCTTAAGTGAAAATCCTTTAATCAGCATGAGGTAGAGGGTACCATATATTAAAACATCTTTCAGAAGGATCTCCTCACAACATGCGAAGATTTATAAAACTGAGTTTGGAAAATTAAAAAGTTCAAAGACCCTGAAATAATAACGCAGCCATGGACTTAGCCTATAAATCATAAAAGAAAAATTTAATTTTTATAAAGTTGGGAAGGGGAATGGAGAAGCAGAACATTATTCAAGTAGTAGTTTTCTAAATCAGTGATTTTTTAAAACCTAGCTACAAATCAGTACTGTCTGGCATCATCCAAACCAATCAGATTGTACCTGGTGATGACAGAACCCAGGCATGGGGCTGGGGATACAGCTCAGTAGCACATCACCTGCCTAGCAAATGTGAGTCCCTGAGTTTTGATTTCCCGTTAAAAAAAAAAAAAGCTTCTGGAACTGAGTGCAAAAATCTGTAATCTCAGGACTCTGGTAGGCTGAGCTAAGAGGATCATCAAATCCCAACAATGCCCAAGCAACCTAATGAGATCTTGTCTCAAAATAAAAAAATAAAATATGGCAAGGGATTTCACTTAGCACAAGGGGTGTAGTTACATTCCCAATACTGCAAAAATCATAAAACAAACACATACCTTGAGTAATTCTATTCTATTGCCAACATTAAAAAGGTGCCACTCTATCCAGCAGGAGGCTGAGGCAAGAGGATCACAGGTTTGAGCTCAACATGGAGAATTTATAAAATATCTTGTGTCAAATATATATTGGGCTGGTCAAATAGCTCAGTGTAAAAGCCCCGAGCATCCCCAGAACTAAAAGATCATCTTGGGCACCCAGAGAAAGGAACAGAGACAAGAGTTGCTCACAATGAGTTTAGAGATGGATAGACAGATACCACATTACCCAGGGCCTTGCAGATGTTTCAAAGGTTTTAACTTAATCCTTAAAACCATGGGAAACCATAAAAAAAAAGTTTTAAGGGAGTGACAATTTCTGTGTAATCAGATAAATCTACACAGTTAAACTTTGCTTGCACAAAGAATGCCTGACCCTGTCAAATGTGTGGAGCACGCCTATAATCCCAGCCCTTGAGAGGCTGAGGAAGGTTTGCAAATTCAAGGCCAGCCTGGATTACACAGGGTGGGTGACCCTGTTTCAGGAAGGAAAAAAAAGAGGAAGAAAAGCAAACAAGGAAGCCTGATTAGTATGTCAAGAAACTTGAAAATATTCTTATAGAGCTGACTGAATCAAACAATCATAGAGTGATCACATTAATCATTAAAAGCATTCACTAAAATTTCTCAACTTGAATCTCATTTTACCAAAGCAAAATTTGGATGGTAATTTGCCTTTCCATGTGGTGCTTTCCTATGAGGAAGAAACAGTACTGACTTCAGACATTAGATCATTTGACAGGTTACATGTCTCACTTGAGATCAGAGAATTATCACTGTCTTTTTAAAACCAGTTTATTGTGATTAAATATACAGCCCAGCTTGTTTACTTACATAGCCTCTATTTATAGTTTTGTCAGCCCAGAAAGCACCCTCCATCTGTGGGAACGGCCCTCGGTGGGAGGGTCACCAGTTAACTTTACTCTCCTAGCCAAGGGGTCAGAGATATGAGACTGGGCTTATTCATCCCTTCCTCGATATTCTGACTGGTAGACACATGACCCAAACTGCATCAACACTCAAAACCCTGCAGGATTTCTGGGGAGAGGTGCTTTTGTCATTTTTTCATAAACAGGCTTTTTTAATTCCTCCACACCTCAGTAAAGAGACAAAGAACAGACTGGCAGAAACTAGAGATCAGAATTCTTAAGAGGAAGAGGCAGCTGTAAATTTAACGCCTGCATCTTGCTAGGTCCTGCAACCAGCCTAGAACACTTTTTACTTTTGGATTTAGTTATTCTTTATTTCAGTCCTTCTTGTTTCTCTTCTCTCTTTCTCTCCTTGCTTATGCTAGTCTGCATTTCTTACTTGCAACCAAAAGGGAACAAACATCCAATAAGGTATGAACTGGCTTTCAGTCAATAATACCACATCATCATCCACTGGGTTTTAAGCATTACCTCTACCTCTATGATATAATTTGAAGGATGCTTAGTTCTTGGCCCAGTTTCTCTCACAGACCTCCTTGCGTCCTCTAATTTTCCAGTAATACAAGAGTCTTTTGGGATTTACAATGAGATACTGTTGACCACAACCAAGCTGGTGCTAACAGAGAGGCTTAGGGTGTGGTGTTGGGTGGCACTGGTCACCAGAAAGATAATGGAGGATCAATAGATGAGAATTTTCAGCTTAACCTACAGGCAAGGAGCGGGAGGAGCATGGTGGGAGGCAGCTGGAGACTAATCTCTCTTAAATCTGGAAAGAAATTTGAGCAGCTTTTAGGTTGCTGAATGACTAAAGGTCTAGAGAGCTGGTGTGCCTCTCCATACTCTACCCAACATCCTTCTAACCATTCATCTGTATCCTTTGTAATATTCTTTATAGTACAAGAATACATTTTCCTGAATTCTGTAAGCCACATCAACAAATTATTAGCACCACAAGTAGTATGGCTATCTCAGAATCTAAATTTAATTCTGATAGTGTCAGAAATGAAATGAACCATAGGGAAGCCAGTTGGTGTCTACTAGAGAAATGCTTGAAACACCTTCTCATATCTGACACAGAAACAGAGTATGTTTTCAACAGCCTCACACCAGGAAGAAAGCTGTACTCCCAGTAAGAATTTACAGTTTTGCAGGAATTAAATATGCACACAATAAGAGACTAAATATGGAGTCTAACAAAACTTTAAACTACAGCTTTTAAGATTAAGAGAGGGAAAAGTTGAGATATGGTAGAAGCCCTCCCAGAACCCTGGGAGGTTCAGGCAGGAGATCACCAAATTGGAGGCTGGGAAGATCAGCAAGGCTCAGAGTCAAAACAAAAAGGGGTGGGGATGCAGCTGAGGGCAAAGGCCCTGGTTCAGTCCCCAGTACCGCAAAACAAACAAACAAACAAACAGGAATACATTAGGAATCAGCATTTCAAGGTCCTCCTATGCCTTGTGGTATAATGTTCATCTGGCGTATCACTTATTTTCAACAAACCTGAATTTGTGAACACCGGGAAAGTTTATTATTTCCAAGGTTGCTTGCAGGACTGTCTCAAGCATTACCACAACAAGCAACCGAGCCTTTCAAGTAATAAAAGGTATATCCCCAAATACAGATATTTAAAGATTGGATATGGAAAAAAGCCAAATGGTCTTCTAAAAAGAACTGCTTTACCTTCCTAATTACTTTCAAGATATTTTAAACTCTAGAAATGCAAGTCTTTAAAGTATAATCAAATAGCCTTGTCCAATTACTAATTTAGTCTGCAGAATAAACTACCTTCATAGTTTCGAAAACCGGAAAATACTGCAACTGGAAAAAAAAAAAAAAAAACCCAAAACGCTAGGCAAGAATGAAGCACAGTGGAATAAAAAGAATCTTGATTTAGATACCGTATACCCACTGTACGGTACAAAGAGTTTTTACTGTATTAATTTGCCTCCAAAGAGGATGATTTCTGATTAAAGTTCTCAAGATTCAAATGAAGTAGCTTTGTGGTATTTTATTCTCTTCATCACAGCCTTCTGTCTAGAAACAAAAAACTTTAGGAAACAATTCGTGGGAGCACTTCAAAAGTTCTGGCCCCAGCACTATGCCACACGTGGGGCCATGTGTCCCACAAGTGACTCCTTGACACCGATGCGAGAGCTCAAGCTGGTATTAGAAACCTCTTTACGTGGCACTGCTCTGCCCACACAGAGTGAACCTCACTCCAGGTAAATCCTCAACGACGGGTCAAGGAGGTCACCCCATCAAATGAAAGATCCCTGTCACCGTCCCTGAGCCCGGATCTCAGGCCGGTAAGAGGGCTGGGCCCGGCGACAGCGAGGCTCCGCCCAGGGTCCCGGACGCCGCCGGAGTCGCCGGACTCCTCTGAGTGGGGGCTGCGACGCCCGGCCCGGGGGCGCCCTCGGCCTGGGCACTGGGAGGCCTGCGTGTGGCGGCGGCCGGACAGGCTTACCTCAGCGTCGTCCTTGCACTGTGGGAGCGAGGGGAACTCCAGCTTCACGTCCTCCATGGTCCGGCCCCGCAAGCGGGCGGGAAGGGCGGGGGAAGCTCCCGCCGATCCGACCCGCGGCGGCGAAATGAAGGAGGGCAGGCGGAGCGCAGGGCGGAGGGCTCCCAACTAACACTCGAAGGCGAGGGCGTCCCAGCGACTCCGGTGGCGACGGCGGCGGCAACGGGGACGAGGAGGGTTGTGCGGCCCGTACCCGGCCGCCATGCTTCTGCCACCTCCCTCGACCCCTCCCACCGAGTCTCTGTGCCCCTCAGGCAGCCTAGGATCCGGCAGCGACACTAGCCTTACAATCCCCTCCCCGACCTCCTCTCGCCCCACCCACGCCGCCCCAGCCAATCCCAACCCACGCTCATCTGGGGCCCGCCCCTCGCCGCCGCCAGGTGTCAGCGCGCCGCCGCCCGTCCCGCCCCTTCACGAGAGCGCAGACGCCGAGGGGCGGGGTCTCGGCCGGCTCGCGCCCGCGGGGGGAGAAGGCGGGGCTACGGCAGGAGGGCGGGGCCGATCGTATGAAGGTCCTGGGAAAGGCAGTGGGCCTGCTGAACCAGACGCGGCTCAGACCTGTCTTTAGTGGGAAGCGAACAGGCAAACATCCTGCCTACCAGGAACTGCTAGCCAAAAGGAAAACCAGTATATCTTCTCAAAATTCTGCCCCACCTGGAGTGAATTTACAACCAAAAGCGTAATAAGTAGATACTTCATTTTAAATTCATTGGTATGCTGCAGGGAAAATGAAACACCTATCATCTTTAAAACAGGTAACTGAAATGGTGGGCTTCTAGGAGTGCTTGGGAATGCAACTTTTAGATTACCTAGAAAAGAAAATCTCAAGAATAGCAAATTTAAGTCATCGGAAGCGGAACTGATACTTTACTCAGAAAACTGTACATGATACTTTTAAGGTATCTCCCTTTGAGTTTATTCATATTTCAACATAATATACTTTTCGATACTTTTTAAAGTTTACAATCTGTATCACTGTTATTTCTCGAGGCTTAAGAAGATACTATTGGGCTTTTTTTAAACAGGTAAAATCAAGCTTAGAAATGAAAGAACCCATACGTATAAAATTTGTGCATCAGAGTATTTAATAAACCACCAGCAGCACAAAGGGGAAAAGGCAAGATTAACTAGATGCAAGGTACAGTGGATGCAAGTGAAAAGATCCCAAGCTTGTTTGACTTAGCCCTTCTCCCGGTTTTCACCTAGGGCACAAACAACCCACTTGGAACTGTTGGACTGAGTATTAGGTAACTGGCCCCAGTGCTCACATTCGCTACTGCTATGTAAACTGATGTCTTTTAAATATTGTAAATGGCAGAAAGGTGACTAGTAGGTTTATAACTTGAAGAATAATCATATAATTAACTAGGTCTTGTTTCATTGGTTCTTTAGGGTTTATGAAATACTTCAGTTTTTAACAGTACCTTCTAACAGTGGTTCAGTGATGATTCTCTTATGTAATTTGTTAAAACTTTTATCGCCACGTGAAATGAGAATTGTGTGTAGGTAACAGAACTTTTGAACATTTTAGGTATCATCATCCCTTACATCAGATACTCTTCACCTGTATCCATATATATTTATAGAATCCATGGGTGAGCTGGGAAATAACAAATCTCTTGAAATTACAGTACATATAAAATTGTGTTCTGGGAAGAAGGTTCTATAGATAACATTCTCAAAAGGGAACTACTATTAACAAAACCAAGTCATATGAATTAACTATGAAATATTTCCTTAAATAACAATCTTAAGTTGTAGATGTACGTGTACTTTTTCAGTTAATTATCAAGTGGCCTAGTCACAATAGATGAAGAGTGGATAAACACTTTCTGGAAGGAAAACCATATATATACACTTATGCATTTATGTTACATATAGTAAGATGATTTTTTTGTATTTCAAGTGTTGGTACTGTTTTAAAATAAAATTCAGAGACCTACTATCTAATTTCAACTTCATCTAAATTATCAAAATGAACAGTTTAATTATGGAAGAACCTTAAAAGAGGCAAATGTACTGTTAGAAAAGACAAGAATAGATGTAGCACTAAATCAAACAGGTTTTATTCAGTTTTAGGATGAGGAAAACAAATGATATAAAATAAGTCATAAGAAATGCTCTCATACTATCTCAAATGACTTTCAATGTTTTACAAAATGCTCACATTGCAAATATGAAAAGTTCAATACTCATAACTTCTGCTGCAATAATGCAACATTAACATACAAATTTTTTCTGTATCAATTTTAAAGTTGAATTACTGAATTACATACTAATTTTATGATGTTATTCACATACATTTTATTTGGTTTTAATGAGATCACTGCCAATACACACATTATTTTCCTTAACTTTATTTTTACATTAAGTCAGTGTCTGTCATGCAGCCGTCAAACACCTTATATTAAATTACACAGGTTTATAGTCCAATTTCGACTCTAGCTTCTTAGAATCAGCCACTTTTCTAACTGCTTTCATGAAGTCTTCCTGAACTACAAAATCATGATCAGCACGAATTGCAAACATACCTGTAGAGAATAAAATAACACAATTGCTATTTATTACATGTGAATTATATGTTCATTGTAAGAAAACTAAATAATAAAATTCTACAGAATAAATTGGAAAGAGCCTAGATTTTCTCTTCAGCCAGTATTTTTGATTTGTTAAAAACCACTATTTTTGTTCGGTTAACTTCCACAGTTATGGGAAGTATCATTTTCTAAATCAAAGGCAGGTGAGACAATTTATTATAACTGTTTTAAAAACTAGCTTGAAAAGCCCTTGTATCCAATAGTTCCTCTTAATAAAAACAAAAATCCAAAACGAACCTCAAACTATCAACAACACATACACATATTTTTGTTGTTGTTTCTTATTTTTTTGAGACAAGGTCTTGCTATGTGGTCCAGGATGGCCTTAAACTCACTATGTAGCCCCCCTGAACTCAGCAACTGTCCTGCCTCAGCTTCCTAAGAGCTGGGATTATAAGCATACTCCACCACACTCAGCCACTTACACACTTTAAATGGTAATTTCTTAATGTTACAGGCAGCAACTTCCTGCACAAAGTATATTTACAAATCAAAGCAAATCTCCCATTATTTTTGTATCTGCTGCTTGCTAAAAATCAAAGGCTTACAGAATAGAAAACTACAGAAACAATGGACTTTAACAAAAGAAAAAAATAAAAGCCATTACTAACCTACTAAAATCTATTTTACTTACACACAATATTTTATATGACTTATATTAAAGTATTACAACTCAATTTTCTCTTCCAAAATTTTGAAAGATTCTTTGTCAAACAGTATTTGCCAAGGAATGAAAGCTTTTTGGTTATTTTTAATATTAGTTACACCATGAGTATAAGTCCCAGATTTTAAGACCATCCTACTTTCATGATAAATTGAAGATGGAAAGATCACTGCTAATCACATGAATCATACTAAAATTTCCATTAAAGATTGTCTGGAATTGAATTTTTTTTTTTTTTGTCGTTTTCCTTTTTATCGGTACCCGGGATCGAACTCATAACTGCCTGCTTGCAAGGCAGGCACTTATGCCGCTGAGCTAAATCCCCAGCCCCCTGGAATTGAATTTTTAATTATATGTAATAAGGGGATTAGACTAGAAAATTACAAGAATTGTTTCTTGTTCTAGATTTTTTAAAGTAAGCACTCTGGAAAAAGTCATTCTATGTTGCTGTAGAAATCGAGTGAATGGAAATGACTGACTTTTTGTACTGAGGATCTAACTCATGTCTTGGTTACTGTAGTAACCAAGTAGTCTTTGGTTTTTTTGTTTGGTTGGTTTTTGTTTTGTACTAGGAATCAAACTCAGGACCTTGTGCTTGCCAGGCAGGCGCTATGCCATTGAGCTATATCCCTGGCTCTAACATTTTTTTGAATAGAAAGTTTCAAAACTTGTTTAGCAGGCTACAACTAAATAAAGTAAGTTATTTTTATAAATCTTTTTTTTTTTTTTTTTTGTCTTTTTCGTTTTTATTGGTACCAGGGATCGAACTCACGACTGCCTGCTTGCAAGGCAGGCGCTTATGCCACTGAGCTAAATCCCCAGCCCTATAAATCTTGATGACTATTTTTAAATAATAGTTTACTGACATACAAATGATACACATTCTATGAAGGAGGATGATGCCAAGAGTTAGATGAAAAAGGCAATCATCATAACTGAGTCAAATGTATTTTAGCTTAGAGAAAGAAGTAATGAAAAAGCCTAAAAGTCTAATAAAAAGAAAACCAAGGAAGCTGGGCATGGTGGTGTATAACTGTAATTCCAGCACTTGGGAGGCTGAGGCAGGAGAACTGCCACAAGTTCAAGGCCAACCTGAACTACATAGCAAGATCTTGTCTCAAAAAATAAACAAATAAAAAATAAAAAATCCAAGGAAGAATCCCTGTAACTCCAGATATGAATGTCCTACTCAGTTAAAAAAAAAAAAAAGCTAGTATTTTCATCCATACATAAATTATAGCTCTTAATTGAGGACAAGGTAAGATAAATTCTTTGAAATATGTAAATTGAAACCACAGTTACATACCACCTCATTTTACTCAATAAGAATGGCTATTATCAAAGACAGAAAAAAAGTGCTGTCCAAGGATGTGGACAAGAGGGGCATGTCCTATGTATACTGCAGCACTCCTCACAATCATCAAAAATAAAAAGAAGCTAAGTGTCTATCAGCTGATAAATGGATAAGGAAAATGGGATAGACACAATGGAATATTATTCAGCCATAAAAAGAATATCCTACTCTTTGCATCAACATAGATTGAAGTAGAGGTCATTACATTAAGTGAAATTAAGACAGGTACAGAAATATAAGTATTGGTGATCTCACTTAAACAGGGCATATAAAAAAAGCTGATGTCAGAGCAGGTGACAACACAGGGGGGCTGCCAGAGGGTGGCGAACAGAAGGCGTAGAGGGATGGGGAAAGGGCAGTAGTGGGTGCTGGCTACAGTTCTGGGCACGACTACACACCTAACAACTGCACACTGTACACTTCAAAAATCTAGTAAAAAGGATTCTGAATGTTTTAAATGTTGGAGGAGATAGATAGGTTTAGTCTAATCTAAACATTAAACAACAAATACATGTATCAAAATATCACATGGCACTCTATCAATATGAATAACTTTTATATTTAAAAAGTTTTAAAAACTTTCAAATGTGAAAAGGTATGTATCAAATTTGATAGCATCAGCCTTTAAGGTAACACAACTGCTTTTGTTTTGATTTCAATTTCTCCAAAGCAATCTTCTGATAATAATTTGGTCTGGCATAGATTTTGGAAAGGCTGTGTCATATATTAAGTAGTTCAAAGCATATGACAGTTTACCTCTTAATACAAGTTGGTATGAGCATGATTTACTATGATTCACATTGTCTAGACTGGCAGACCTCGGATCCAGATACTGAGTCACTGTGTACCCATGAACACCTTTCTACCTTCCTGAGCAGCATCTTTAAACACTGTCTGTTAAATGTATAAGGAATGTTATTATAATAAAGCTCAGCATGATATGGAAGACAAGCGGAAATCAAATAGTGTAACACTTAAGAAAATAGTTAACATACAGCCTATGAAGTTAATAATTATAAAACGGGGGCTGGGGATTTAGCTCAGCAGCATAAGCACCTGCCTTGCAAGCAGGCAGTCGTGAGTTTGATCCCTGGTACTGATAAAAACGAAAAAGACAAAAAAAAAATTATAAAACTACTATAGAAACTTATCTTTTAAATTTTAAGCTTTTGTATTGAGAACTAAAGCTACTGGTACCAGAAATATAAAGTGTCACAAAACCAGAGAAGATTGTATTTCTACTTTGTTTTGTTTTTTTGTCTTTTTGAAACAAGGTCTCCTTATGTAGTTCAGGCTGGCCTCCAATTCATAAGGATCTTCCTGCCTCAGCCTCCTATGTGCTAGGATTATAGGCATGCACCACCACGCCTACTGGCTTCTTTTTGTTTCTGAGACAGGGTTTTGGTTATGCAGTTCAGGCTGACCCTGAACTCACTCTGTAGTCCAGGCTTCCCTTGACTCCCTGCAATAATCCTGCCTCAGCCTCCTGAGTGGCTGGGATTACAGGCATGCACCATCACACCTGAATGAAAGTGGATTATATATATATTTGTCTTTTTCCTTTTTATTGGTACCGGGGACCGAACTCACAACTGCCTGCTTGCAAGGCAGGGCAGGTGCTTATGCCACTGAGCTAAACCTCCAGCCCCCAAAGTAGATTATATTTAAAATCTGCATTTTATATAAACCACATGATCAGTCTTTCAAAGCTTACTGCTCAGACTAGTATGCAAAAAACGTATTTTGCAGCAGATAGCTCTGGCCCATTCGAATTCTAGTCACGGTTCTATATACCCTCAAGACTTATTTCAGGGGACCAATATCCTATCACATGCTTGCTTTACACATTCTGTCAGCAGGAATCCAAAAGTGCAAGGGAATTAACATACCCCTCTTATGGTTTATATCTAAATGTCCCCTCAATGCCTCATGAACTCATAGGTGAGGCTCCTGGGAAATGGCTGGCTCATAGGTGTGTGACACTGGACTATTAGTGCGCTAACCAGATTAGTACATTGAGTAATTTAGCATAACTGTGGGTCATGGAATTGTGGGGAAGGCCCACACCAGTGTGGGTGACACCAACCAATAAGCTTACAGCCTGGATAGAATATAAAGGCAAAGAAAGGCAGGCAGGCTCAATGCTTCGCTGCCTCCTGCCTGCCCTTCCATGGACTGTTTCTTTTCTTGTGCTCTGTCCTGCAGCCAGTTGATTATGGACTGAAACCTCCACAAACTGAGCTAAAATAAACCTTTCTTCCTTTACTTTGTGGGTGTCAGGTACTGCTATGAGAAATTAAGACCACTCCCAAGGGCAAATCTTACCTAATGGGTCACAGGTGTTGGTAAATCAGTATTCTAGTCTCTCATCTTTCTGACAGCAATCCTTAAAGGCATTCTCCAAGGTCTGCTCCAAAATCAAGACACCCTTGCCTAAAGGAGCTAACTCAGTGTCTGTATACCCTTATATGTTAGCATTTCCTCTTTCATCTCACTTGTCCTTTCTCTGTTGCCTCCTGGAATCAATTCCCCCAAAAATATTACACTCAAAATTCTTGAAAGGCCCAGCCTCTGCTTTTAGGCAAACTCAAAACAATTTTAGTACATTTTAAAAATCAAAATCAGTAATAAAATTGTACATCTTTACCTGCTTCAGTACAAACATTTCTCAGGTCTGCTCCATTAAAGCCATCTGAAAGTTTCACAATTGCTTCATAATCTGTTTCAGAAAAAATACCTGAAGTTAGTTTAAAAAAAAAAAAAAAGATGCCTTTTCTTGATTTAAAATGACATGTAAAATGTAAGTGAAAGAGCTTACTTTGAATTTGATCAGCTATGCATAACGCAGTGCCTCACTCATGCTAGGCAAGCAAGCTGACAGATGCACACTCAGACCTCCTCAGCAGCTTTAAAATTGGGAGTAACCAAGGTCTGAAAGCGCAGTAACCTCTTTTTATACAATGAAACAACTATGCACATGTGAATTTCAGATACTTTCTATGACTTATTAACACTTTAATTTCAACTAACATCTAATTTCAAAACCATTTATAACAACAGAATTTAATCACAGAAGCCAAATGTAAAAGGTGTATCAAAAAGACAAAAAACCCACCAGATACCAGATGTAATTTTATCACATAGAATATTTAAGTACTACAGCTTTCCAAGTTTTAGTGTAAGTTTCAAGTACTGTAGTATCAGATCAAGCATTACAATAACAGGTGAAGTCATTCTCTACCTTGTTGCATGAAACACATCAATGAAGTGGTAAAGGTGTGGACTACCAGTCAATGGATAGAAAGAGATTAGTATGAGCTACTACCTTGTGAGTTAACTCTGGCAACATACTATCACACTATAAAGGGTAGGTCAATCTCTACTTGAAAGTATACAGATATTCATTAACCATTAAAAAGCTTTCTGAAAGCAGGGTTTCTAAGGCTAGCACAATATCTGGTATGTACCAACAGTTTAGTAGTTGTGACAGAAACCTATTATTTGATATGTTTTTGTTCAGACTAGACTTTCTTTATCATAGGAAAAAAGGAGATCAGAAACAATAATCATTTGTATTTGTAATCATTCTAGACCATTAACACAAGAAATTTTTGATACTGCTTTGTCAATTATACTAGATTCCTGTAGTAGGAGTCAGTGCACTTTTTATGTAGAGAGCAGAGAATAAATATTTTATATTTTGCAGTCTCTGTCTAAGTTACTCCACCCTGCTGTAGTAGTGGCAAAGCAGCCATAAACAACACATAAATGAAAGGCATGGTTGTATTACAGCAAAACTTTATGCCAGCTTGCTAGCTTCAATACTACTCCAGTCCCTCACTATTTGCAACTTCTTCTCTGTCCTCAAATATCTAACACTATTCCCTTTTTTACTCTGAATCTGCACGCTATTTATCTGGGAAAACAGAAGCATTCAGAAGATTTTCCCAAGGTGATAGAACTGCACCTGCGAACTTGTCAGCATCAGCACCTATATGCTCTGCCTTTTCTCCTTTATCGTAAGTGAAAAGTATGCTCAGATAGGGCCACCTCCTCTTTAAGCAAAATGCATTATCAGTTTCTCTGGTAAATCATTCCAAGAAGCATTAAAAAAAGGGAAAACTGTAAATTTCTCCAACCTAAAAAAATGCTCTATTTCCCTTCTAGCTACTACTCCACTCCTCCACACAACTCATTAAAAGAAATGTCTAAATTCAATGCCTCTCCTCCCCATCTCTGTGAAATTCGTTTTAGAAGGTTTTCATTCCCAACACTGCAATCAAATTACTTTCAACAGGGTCACCAAAGGTTCCACACTGAAACCCAAAGGTTTACTCTCAGAATTCTTTTATCTGACTGAATACCAGCATTTATAGGAAATCAGTCCCTCCTTTCATTTACCTTCCAGAACATCATCCTCTCCTGACTATTCCTACCTCTGTACCTGTGCCCTCAGACTTTTACAAGGTTTCTTCACGTCAACTTTTTTTTTTCAAACAGGGTCTTGTTGTGTAATTCAAGCTGGCCTTGAATTCACTATAGAGCCTAGGCTGGCCTTGAACTTGTGGCAGTCCTTTGCCTCAGCCTCCCAAGTGCCTCTCACACCTGGCACTTCATCTCAACTTCTTAATGTCATAACGACCTAAATTCAGTCTTCGACACTCTCTATTCTCTACCTTTATTTGCCTCTTCAGAAATAGCATCTAATTGCAAGACTTTAAAAACCGTATTTTAGGCTGAAATCATCTACATTTTTATCTGCAGAATACATTGCTTCAATGAACTCAGATGCTTAGAGAATTACTATTCAATATCTATTTGGAAATCTAATTGGCATCTCAAACTTAATGCATTCAAAACTAGGTTTCTTATTCTCCTACTTAAACTTGAACTTCACCACCTTTCAATGTTATCTTACTTATTTCCTTTGCAGTGCTGGGGATTAAGCTTGTGGCCTTTCACATGCTAGTCAAGCGCTCTATCATTGAGCTATAACCCCAGCCCAGTCTTTTCAATTTTATTTTATTTTATTTTAGCCTTTTGAGACTGGGTCTCTTTATGTAGTTCAGGCTGCTCATTTTGTAGCCCAGAGTGGTCTTGAACTTGCAATGATCCTCCTGCCTCAGCTTCCCGAGTGCTGGGATTACAGGAGTGTGTCACCATGCCTGCTATTCTTTTCAATTTTAATTAAAAGCAGCACCATCTTTTCTGCCATTTGGTCCAAACTTAAATTGTTTTTTTCTTCTTCTTCTCTTCAGCCCATGACTTCATATTCAGTTCATTACTAAGTTTTGTCTGTCACCTTTACTTTCAAAATATACCCAGAGTCTCATCATTTTAAAAGTCCTTCTCAATTACAAATCATTAAAATTGGTGGTAAAAAGATTTTGCACTACCTTTGACCATGGTTATTGAAAGAATCACCTGACACTCCTGCTTCTCTTTGTCCCTCTACAGTCTATTCTCAATGTGTTGCCAAAATAATGTTTCTTGAGTTCTGAAATACTCATGCATCAAGTGACATAATGCCTGGGATTTGATTTTTTTCAAAATATACATACTCAAAAATAAAACTAAATTTAAAAGGTAGGGAAAAATACAACTCACAAATTAATTTAAGCATTTATCACAATTACAAGGAAAGAAAACTTGATACACAAACCTTTTTGAGCACAGTATCCAAACTGGACAGTCTTCTTGGTTTTTGGTAGCAGTGGGGGTTGAACCCAGGGTCTCATGCATAGTAGGCAAGCTCTCTATCACTGAGGTAGACCCCTACCCTTTTTTATTTTTTGAGAAAAGGTCTAAGTCTCCCTGAACTTGCAACTCTCCTGCCTTCGCCACCCCAACAACTAGGATTACAGGTGTGCACTACCATCCCTGGCTGGGTACAGTCTTTAGAAAACAAACACTGAAGTTGATGGATGAATACGTAAGGGCTAGAAGTTCATTATACTTTTATTTTTGTCTTTTTCCTTTTTATCGGTACTGGGGATCGAACTCACAACTGCCTGCTTTACAAGGCAGGCGCTTATGCCGCTGAGCTAAATCCCCAGCCCCCATTATACTTTTATCTCTAATTTTATGTTCCTTTCTGTAATAAAAAGTTAAATAACAACAACAAAGAAAGTTGTATGTTTGTTCTGCTCAAAATCCTCCAATGGTGTCTATATTCTAAAAGCCAAAAAAGAAAAAACAAAAAGGAAAAGTTCTCACATGGTGACCTCCATAAGGCTCTCCACAGTCTGGACCCCATGACCTCTAAGACTTCAGCTGCCACTCCTAGGCCACTTACTCTGCCACAGATACGATGGCCTCTCAAATGTTCCAGGCACTCACCTGCATCACTGCCCTCCAATTTGCTGCTCCTCTTCCATGAAAGGGTCTTCCCCTCGCATGTATGTGTGTCTAATTCCTTCTCTGTTGCAAGCCATTGCTTAAAAGTCACCTTGGTAAGAACATTCCTGTGCCTCCTCACCCTCCACTGAATGTATACACACTCATGCTTATTCTTGATGTTTCCTATCCCTTTTTTCTTGTTTTTTTCTCTCTATACTATTTAATCACCATGATATGTGCTATCTATTTTACTTATTTTTATCAATCTTTTCTAACAAAAATGGAAGTCCTTCTAAGGCAGGAAATTGTTTCATTCATTGCTATATCTCTAGCACTTACAATTCATAGGATATAATACATGCTTGCTCAACAAATCTCTGATGAGTTTAAAGCCACAGTGTTTGCTAAATTGGTATTCTATCAATTTCTAATAGTAATTATGTTTCATTTGTTAAAATAAATGCATTCAAAACTGGTTACTTCCTTACCTATTTCGCCATGCTTTGTAATGGGGCCTGCATGGATTTTCAATATATCTAATCTTGCTTGTTCATTTGGTAAATCAATATCTGAAAATAAGAAATTACAAGGAATTATTTTATCGTAGTTTGTTGTTTTAAATAAAGTGGAGCTAAGGGGAAGTATAAAAAGAGAAAAGAACAAAATAACATAGATAGCAAATAAAAAGTTTAACTCACGTATTTTTCTATCTAATCTTCCTGGACGCAGCAACGCAGGATCCAGTGTATCTGGTCTGTTTGTAGCCATGATCATTTTAACTCTATGCAGAGTATCAAATCCATCCATCTGATTCAGTAACTAAGATTATTAAAAATCACAGATTTTATAAAATATTAACCACTTTAAACACATACTTTTTATATAGCTAATGCCAGCAAGGATGTTGCATATAACCATGAGACCTTCAGATGTTCATTTGATGAAATTTGGCTCTTTTTTTTAAGGATATACTTGGATCCTCAATGTTCTAAGACACTGTGCCTTTTTACAGCTATTTAGATTTAGTAGGCTTGAAAGTTTCCTTCCATCTGGTCAAGAATTATGAAACTAAACTATGTGAACCTGATTTCCCATATCAACAATCTCTTTATTTTTTTCCCCAATATTTAGAACAAACCCAAGGCCTTCATATTGAGGTACACCCCCAACTTTCAGGAGGCTGAGGAAGATTACAAATTTGAGCTCACCCTGGTCAGTTCAGTAACTCAGTGGGACCCTGTCTCAAAATAAAAAATAAGAAAGGGGCTGGGAGTAAGAATAAGAAAGGGGCTCAGTGTGAATGCCCTACATTCAATCTGTAGTACCACAAAAAAAGAAGAAAAAAAAATAGGCATATGGATAAAAAGGTTTTGCGACAAATCTGATAATCTTACTCATTGAATAATTTGACAGTACCCAGAAGTTCTGAAAATCAATAATTCCATTGTACAGAGAAATACTGAGATATCAAAAATACTTCTTTGGATTTCTGATGTTTTCGCCAATAAATTGAAAACTGTACTGCTTTTAACAAATGCTTTAAAATACACCTAGCCTGAAAATGTAGCTGACAACATTTTATCAGTTTCCTGAGAGGGAAAAAAATTAGTATTTATAGTTTTAAAATACCTCAATTTAGGGGCTGGGGATTTAGCTCAGTGGCACAAACACTTGCCTGGCAAGCGTGAGGACGAGTTCGATCCCTGGTACCAAAAACTAAAAAAAAAAATAAACACCTAAATTTAAATTTTTTAAGAGAATGTATCATTTGATTTGGCACTCAATTACCTATGATACTTCGTTGCTATTAGTGGGAGTGATCAAATCTATCTGGAGTCTTTCCATCATTTTCACAGAATTTGGAGTGGGAAAAGAAATTTTGGCAAAGGCTTTATGTTTGTTCTTCTGCTCCCTCATCTAGCCCCTTCAATTATTAAAACTATTATAAGTGTGTCTCAGGCTCAGCCATAGAACAAGCAAAGAATGATTTCTAGTACCAACTCTCATGTAATTTTTATTAGTTTATAGCCAAGTCTTAGTATGTCCACTACTTCATTAATAATCAGCATGAGGTAACATTTATAAACAAGTTTAAAGTACATTTTAACAATGGCTGATTTGCTCAGAAAACAGAAGAGTACAGATATATAAAATAACTTTTTCAGTGGCTATTTTCTATTTCTTGATATATAAAAACATAAAAATTATCCCTATTACTGAGATTGTATAATGTTTAATTTAGGCTAAACATACCGAAGTTCTCAAACATTTAACATTAACTTTATGGAGAAAACATTCAGAATCACTGCTTCTAGCTTTTGGAAGTAAACATGTGTAAGTCTTATCTGCAATCATCCCTCTATGCAATAATAGCACAACAAAACCCCTGCTCCTACCTACCTGCAACTTAGTACCCACAGATCGACCTCTCCTGTACCCTCCTCTCCCCAGGACTAGTCATTTTCTTATTCTGATACCGAAATGTGTTCATGTCTGTCAACAGTTCAAATATCACAGTTTATTTAAATTGTTGCATGTACTTTGACTTCCAAATACACTACGTTCTTCATTTAATAAACAATGGGCTCTTTACCAAATATTACCTCCATTAAAGTTCTCTGGATCTCTCTGTCAGCTGAAGTACCCTCAGAAAACCGGCGACCACCTAAAATAATAGATTTGCAAATTCATATGCATTATCAATCCTCCTTAACCACCATCTAAGAAATAGAATAGGAAAAATGTTTAGGGTTAAATATATAAAGATTAAGAGAAGAAAAATAAATGTAAAAATTATACTAACAAAGTGAAATTACTTTGGTGCGTTGTTTCTCATTTTGTCAACATCAAAGGTTATTTATTAAAACTGGTTAGCTTTCAAGTCTTTTAAAATACCATCCAATTCCGTGGGGTGTACTTATGTTATATAAGTCACAATTTTAGGATGGGGGGGTTGTCTAGAGTTTTAAAACATTTCCTCTAACACTTTCAAAAATTTAAAATGAATTTTAAAAGGTGTTACTCTTACCAATAGCATCGATTTCATCCATAAAAATGATGCATGGCTGATGGTCCCTTGCATAATTAAACATTTCTCTAATCAAACGGGCACTTTCACCAATGTACTTATCTACAATAGAACTAGATACAACCTAAATAAAGGAAAAATGTAATGATAAATATAAGGCATTTCAAATAAAACTGAATTGCAACAGCTACAAAAGAATCTTCCCCCACCTTTAAGAAATTGCAGTCCAGCTGGCTAGCAACAGCTCGTGCCAAGAGTGTTTTTCCTGTGCCTAGGAAGGAAAAAAATCCTGATTAGATGGAAACTAAAACAAATTTTCAAAAGTCTTTTAAGAATATAATCCTTTGGCTAGGACATTTTCCAAAATTAAAGCTAAATCCTCTAATAAATTGACATAATTGTGCCTATTTAAAATGTCACACTGACATATGTATGTATTGTGAAATGATTATATTCCCTCATATATTACTTTGTAGAAAGAACATTTAAAGTACCTTAGTCATTTTAAAAAATCACTACATTAATTTTAAAAAATGGTAGAGCACTTTGCCTATCATGTACAAGGCTCCAGATTCGAGCCCCAGCAACAACAACAAAAAAACACTCCACACATGTCTAACTACAGTATAGTCACCATGTTGGCCATCGCTAGAACTTACTCTTCCTAACTGAACTTTGTACCTGTTATGCAACATTTCCTAACTCTGTTTGCCACCCCCTACTGCCCACCAAATCCACCTCAGCCGCTGGTCACCGTTCAACTCTGCTTGTGTGAATTCAACTTAAAGATCCCACAAGTGACATCACGTGGGTCTTTTTTTCCTAGTTTATTTCATTTAGTACTCTAGATTCATTTGTCACACATGACAGATTTTCCTTCTCTTTTAAGATTAAACAGAATTCCCTCATGAATATAACCCAAATTTTCTGTATCCGTGCATCAGCTGATGCGCATTGGGCTGTTTTTCCATGTCTTGGTACTGTGAGAAGCGCCTCAGTGAGCACGGGAGAGCAGCTATGCCAACACACCGACTTCGTTCCTTTGAATGTGTACTCGGAAGGCTGCCAGACCACAGGCTGACTGTTTTTACTCTCCTGAGGACCCTCCATATCATTTTGGTTGCACAAATTTACACTGCTATCAAAAGTGTACAAGGATTCCCTTTATTCCGCATCCTTGCCAATACCTATTATGGTTCATCTTGAAAACAGCCATTCTTATACGGAACTTTAGAAATACATCAAATCCTGCTTACAATATGGACTATCATAATGTAGCAGAACCCCACCCGCACCTCAGGCAGTATACTTCAGTTTGGTAGTTGCCCAGGTGACAGTTCCTGTTCCAGTTCTGGTTGCTCCTGTCTCTTAGAAATGGCTGGTCACTGTGATGCACAGTGGGTCACTGTGATGCACATTGTATAAACCAATTCTCAACTGGCAAGCCATTCTGCCTATATAGTTCCTGCCTGCTTATCTTATAACAGGCCCTAGAACACCAGAGATCAGAGCCTGATATTGATGCTGATGGGCAATGATCCCAATCAGCGGATGAGTGCCCACTGATGATAAATAAATCTTATCTCCAAATCTTGGGTGTCACTTCAGTGTTTCTGCTTGCCACTGCAATAAAGATTTCTGTTACATTAAAATACATTGGCTTATTTTGCATGTTGAATGGACTTTTAATCTCTACCTACTTTAACATTAAACATTGGAAATTACTGGTTCCGAGAATTATGCAATTATGCCAGATGTTGACATTTTTCAGAAATACAATATTAAAAACTACATCTGATACTGCCCATAAAAGTTTTTAACATATTAGAAAGCTGTCAAACTTATAGTACCAACTTTTTAAAATTTCAATTTCACTTGAATGCACAAATCTTATCACTAGCAAGACATGATATCAGCATTTTTCTCCTGCCCTTTTCCTTCTCCCCTCCCTTCCCTTTTTCTTCCTTCAGTGCTGAGGATCAAACCAAAAGCCTTATGCAGGCCTAACAAACCTTCTAACACTGAGCTGTCCCCCCAACCCTTTAGCGATTTTCTTTACCATGACAAAGCTCACTCTGATCATTTTAGAAAAAAAAAATGTCCCAGATAATAACCCATCACTAACAGCTAATCAGCAAACCACTACAAAAGACCCCAGACTGTAAACTGTCCTTTCAAATAAAAATGGTAGTTCAAGAAAAGCAGCTTACTTGGGTGACAACTCTACAAGTGCTTTTCCTAAAAACAATTATCTTCTGCAGTACACAGCACAACTTCATGTATTTTTTCCATTTCAACATATACAATGTAATACATGATTTAAGGACGTAGATTTAATAAAATTAATTTTCACTGCTTTGCAAAAATATTCTAGTGATGGGCTGAGGATTTAGCTCAGTGGTATAAGCACCTGCTTGGCAAGCTCAAGGTCATGAGTCCAATCCCCGACATACATACACACATAAAAAAAAATTAGAGGAACTGCCAATCTTTTATATTGTAAGGATGTGTGTGGCCTCAGAAACATGACATTGGCACTTCATGACACACTGACCAGTGAGTCATGTTATGGGGCCCAAGCAACTTTAACTATGTTGCTTTTGCACCATCAGGATAGATGTCAACACTGTGAAGGAGCCAAATAATATCTTAGTATCCTGAAGTAATTTTGAACTTGCAAATCCCATGAAAGTATTTCAGTGAGGCCCACAACTGTGAAGCACACTTTGGAAATACTGCACTGGAATCCCATAGCCTGCTAACTGTGAGACCAAATGGACTAAGAGTGCCTGAGCAAGCAGTAGCCACACATCTTAACCCATTCTCAATCAGAAGGCAGTGCTCACATCAAATTTCTTACTCTGTAAAATTCTTTCATGTATTGGTGGGCTAAAAATAATTCAATACCAACCTGGTGGTCCATATAACAAACAGCCTTTTGGAGGTATTATTCCCACACGCTGGAATAATTCTGGGTTTGTGAGTGGTAATTCTATTACCTAGAAAAGAAGTTGTATGCTTCGTAAAGTTAGTAAAGATTTTTATATATTTGCAAATATTGTCAGTCTGATAATAGCATAGGCACACACAGAAGTCAAAAGAAATCTAGGCTTCTATACTATGTAAAAACATTTATATTACAGGTTTTCCTTCAAGCAGATTTACAAGCTATCAAAATCTAAAAATTTTAAATGGTTACTTTAATCAACCATATGCTAGATTATAAATAGGTGTATAATGTGCCAAAACATATTTAAAATGTACAGCTAAAATCAATGCATTGATTGAATTATATCTCAATGAAAAATTACAAAAAAAAAATCATTGAAGAAAAAAGTGGAGTGACAGCCCTCCAATCTCAGAATAAGAAATGTTCCCAGGATCCCACTAGTTTTCATGTGGTAATACAATACAGATAATCATAAAATGGGGAATGGATTTGGTGAGTTATAATCATCAGTAAGCAAAAAGACATATAAAAGTTACACTGATTGTGCCACGGCAGTTTTACCCAGAACAATATGCTTTACCCAAGACAGATTCATGAAAAGAATGGAAAAATTGAGGCTTTGACAATCCAAATTACTTTCAGTATCAGTAACTTGAAAGAACACCTGCTGAATAGCTGTGTCTGTAAGATGGACCAGAAGAAGGCAAAGTGTGGACACTCAGTAGTGTCTGCAGTGGAAAAGTCTGTGTGCCTGTGATTCTTTCTGCTCTGTGCTGAAGAAGTGAGGCAGTGAGTCATGGCAGAAGGCAAGCTTCCAGTGTGGTGAAACACTTTACCTGTACACGGTTGCCCTTTCATGAGCTGAAAGTGACACCAGGCTTTTATTTACACGTAAGTAAATAAATGCTTCCTTGGGTATGGGCAAAGAAAATTTTGGTCTCACACTCCTTGGAATGCTTGTTTAAATAATTTCTATACTCTACCCCCATCTACTTCATCACAATTTCTTTACTCAAAGACCCATATCAATTTGAGGGGCTTCCTCTTTTTTGAAATAGGGTCTTACGGTGCACTTCAGGCCAGCCTGGACTCACTATGTAGCCCAGGCTAGGCTCAAACTTTTGGTGATCCTGCCTCAGCCTCCCAAGTGCTGGAATTACAGGCACGTGGCACCACTCCTGGCATGTTTTTTGAATTTAACTTTATTTCCATTTTCACTAACACCTAAATATTTTCACCTTATATTAGGCCAAACCAATAGACAATGCAATTTGCATTACAGATTATTCTTAAGAAGTTATCTGTGCCATAATACAGGTAACCCTAGATTGATTTTTCACCAGAGCTGAGATTTGTCACCCCTGCAGTCAATATTTCCCTGAATGGCAGCAAACAGCCTTATGAAAATAAAATACTTAAGGCACAGTCTATTGTAAGAATGAGAAGCTAACACTGAATTTTTGAGAAAACTACGTAACACCGAACATGTGCTCCGCCCCAAACACACTATAGTAGACAATTAAAACCACAGATGGCAACATCGGATCATAGCAATTATTCTTAGCTTTCCTCCACCGTCTTTACCACAAAAAAATTTTCCCAACATCAAATTTGTTAGTTGCCAAACTAACAACAGTAATTTTCATAGCTAGAACTTCAGTGCTGTTCATCTGTCAGCATGAATATTATACGCCTATACTGTATTTAGTAACTATTTGGAAGAAAGAGTAATTTTTCATAATGCAAATCCCTTCAAGCATCTTAAAACCAGGAATTATTGTTACAGAAGTCAGTGATCAAAGCATATGGTACCAACCTCTCTCAGTTCTCGAATCTGTTCTGACAGCCCTCCAATCTCTGAGTAAGAAACATTCCCAGGGTCCTCATGAGACATGTTGTAAACCAATGGATCCACCTCTCTCGGCAAGTATCTAGAATGAAAAGGTATGTATTTGTTGCAAAAGGTATATTTCCTCTCAGGTTACAAATACAGTACAAAGGTCTACACAAGCAGCCTTATGTGATTTTATATGGATGTTGAATTAAAAATTAGTGAAAGAAGCCTAGGGATGATAGTGCATGCCTATGACCCCCAGCTCTCAGGAAGCTGACGCAGCAAGATTGCTGTGAGTAGGGGCTGGGGATGTAGCTCAGCGGCATAAGCGCCTGTCTTGCAAGCAGGCAGTCGTGAGTTCAACCCCAGTACTGATAAAAAGGAAAAAGACCAAAAAAAAAAAGATTGTTATGAGTTCAAGACCAGGCTGGGCTACCTATTGTCAATAATAGTCTGCACTACAAAGCAAGACTCTATCTCAAAATACCAAACAAAACAATTACTAGCTTATAAGAAAATATAAACATCAAATAAATTTTTAATAATGCAGTATTTAAAAAACTTGGTGAAAGGGCTGGGGATTTAGCTCAGCAGCACAAGCGCCTGCCTTGCAAGTAGGCAGTCATGAGTTCGATCCCTGGTACCGATAAAAAAGGAAAAAGACCAAAAAAAAAAAAACTTAGTGAAAGGTTGTGTCAATATTCAATGATTTCAAGAAGCACAGACTTTGGATCCAATCTTTCCTCTGTGAAAATAAAACGCAACTTTTAAAAAGAAACTTACCTCATGATAGTTAGTGTAGTCATATCCAAAGCAACTCTTGTTCCTGGCTTCAGCTTGCTTTTGTCAAGCTAGTTTTTTTGGAGAAAAAAAAAGGTATTATACATAGATATTTAAAGGAAACTAATACTCTAACAGCTTAATATTCTGGAGTCAAAATTCTTTTTTTTTTTTTAACCAATATGAACAAACACAAATATCAGAGTACAAGCACCATGCCACTAGGAAAGCTTATAAAAATAATCATTTAAAGTTATTTCCATCTCCTATTTGTATCAATCATCATAGGAAAGTGATGGGAATTAGTACCAAAGCATGTATAGAAAAGAGCCGTTAATAAGCATTTTGGGGGAAGGAAAGGAGACATTTTAAAGACACCTTTAGATTTTGAAAAGTATAACTTTTGGGAAAAAGAAATATGCTACATAATCATAAGAGATAGGGGGAAATGCACTTTGTTTTCTCATAAGTGATTTTTATTAACATGCTAAAGAATGAAAAAAACAAAAACCAAAGCCAGAAAGAAGCCTAGGCCCCATAACCTACCAACCATCATTCATGCTTCTGCTACATGCCAGACCTTATGCTAAGCACTTCATGTATTAGACTGCAACAAACTACACAATTTACTGTGTATCTAACTAGGTACAGTAATTCACATGGTTAAAACTGGCTGGACTCTAATAAATCCACTTATATTCAAGATGTTACTCTTCAGAAATAAAGTTACTTTTTGATAGTTTAGAAAACTGTTTTAAGGCTGGGGATTTAGCTCAGCGGCATAAGCGCCTGCCTTGTAAGCAGGCAGTCGTGAGTTTGATCCCTGGTACAGATAAAAATGAAAAAGACCAAAAAAAAAAAAAAGAAAAAGAAAAAGAAGAAGAAAACTGTTTGCCGAGCAGGGGTGGTGGCTCACACCCAGCACTCGGGAGGCTGAGGTGGGAGGATGGTTGCAAGTTCAAGACCAGCCTGGGCTACAAAGTGAGCTCAAGGCCAGCCTGAATTGCATAGTGAGACCCCATCTCAAAAAGGACAAACAAAAAAACAACAACAAAAAAAACTGTTTGCCAATACATTTTCAGAATCATATAAATTATTGACCACTTTTTAGAGGATTTTCCCAAAAAGCTGCAAATTTAGGAAACAATATCAATTAAAATGAAGATATGCAAAAACACTAGCTTTAATATAACAGATTTAATATGCAAAAACACTAGCTTTAATATACTAGAAAAATGAAATACAGACTTTACATTTCTAGTATTTCCCAATTTCCAAATATTCTCTTATCATTATACAGTCACAAAATATTTCAGAAATGCCAATTTTTGGCATCTAGAGGGTTATGAAAATTTTTTTCACACTAGGAGTCTCATATTTCACTTTGAAAATGTCACCTACATTTATGCCAGGCAAAATCCTAAGTTTGATTTAGTTTAAATTCTATCCCACAGTCATGTTGTATCAGTCTTTTAAAACCTGAATCTGCCATAAGAAATATTCAGAGCAAGCTCTACCAGCGAATTTACATGAATGCTCTACTTCAGGACATTTATAAAGGACAAAAGTATACTTAAATTGATAATATTAAGCCAATGGAGGCAAACCGATGGCATGGGTGTCACAGCTGGCTGTCTGCTATCAATGAAAGCTTTAAAAGGTTTGCCATTACTGGGTACTTGCTGGCATTTTTTCAAATAACTGTAATGTAAAATTTAGAATTCTTTCAATTGTCTTGTTCTAATCTAAATAACCTCATACAAAATTAACTTGGGCCACAGTAGAATTCTTAACAGTTTCAAAGGTTTACATGTAAACTATGGGTATCTAATAGAGTCTAATACTTTTTAAGTACTCTTCAAAAAAGACATTAAAATAGAATGATCTATTTTCATTTGTAAACTTCTTTAATTTGGAAGTACACAGAACTGGCTGAGGCAATGTGATACAGCAGAAAATAGGAAGAAGTCAAAGCCTATGATTTGAATTCTGGCTTTGTTAATAATTAAGTCTGTACAAACAAGTCATCACTGAAAGAGGCATAATGCTTGACCCGCTTACCTCAAGAATTAGAAATAATAGCTGATATAAAAGCACTTATCAATTGTAAAGCACTATACTAATGTCAAGCATTACCTGTCGACGACAACCCACAACATATCTTGGTCCATTCGTAGCTTTAACAATGACTAGAAGAAAACAAAAGAATAAATTGAAAAATAGTATCAACATAGCCACATCAATGGAAGGATTATTTTTATTTCTGCCCCCAAGGAGAGTTAAAATACATTTTATGCAAAAATACCATCTCCCTACATTACTGTCATTAAAATAAGCATTTCAAAAACTGGGGAGCTGGCTGTTTTTTACTAGCTAATAAGCTGATACACTTACATTTTTCTTCAGTTAATTGTTTAAGCACTTCACCCACAATCTAAGAAAGAAAGAAAGAGCATTATGTGTTGCTAATGGCTAAAATACAAAGCAAATTGCCATCACCCTCTACAGCCCAAACTTTAGTACCTACCTGCCCAACACTTTGCAGGGCCTTCAGATCATTTTCAGACTTTTCATACTGCTTGGTAAGTTCTTTTAATTGTTCCCTTACTGAAATAATATAATTTGGACATTTTAAGTTACACAATGATCTTAGCACATTTAAGTCTCCCAATCTTACTTATGTCTACTTTATGTAAATTTCACATCTACAACATTAAAAGGCGCCATTAAGAAAAAGAGAAAGCATTATATTTTTTGATGGGCAATGTTTATTTAACAGGTTTCAAGTTACATTCTTAACAGATACTGACATCCTGACACAGGACTGTGGACTACAAATCCAAATGGCAATCAAATCCTTGATCACCTCACCTACCCGCCTACACTACTCCCTCTTTTTCTACCCTAAATAAAGTCGACAATGCAGTTCTTCCCGGAATCAAATGGTTACGGTCTTCTTTCATTTAATTAAACCATTCAGGCTTTTCAAGAGGAAAGCGCTATGAATAAAAAACATAAGCGCTCGGCGTGTAAAGAAAACTCAGATGCCTGACACAGCAGCACATCACAAACCTTGAGAAGGATGGCAGGTGTTACTCATGACCTCTGGCCCTCTTCCCCCTCAAGCAGCAAGTCCGGCTTTCACCTCCAGCAACAGGCCGCCCCCCGAGGTCTCACCCCTGGCTGCAGCCTCCCTGACTCGGGCGTCCTCCCTGCACCGGGCACCCGTACCCGGCCTCCGCTCACCCCAACCTGGGAAATGCGCCTAGCCCACCTCATCTCCACTTCTGGGGTCCTTTTCCACCTTTACGTCAGAACCGTGCATGTTCTCTCCGTCACCGGTACCGGCCTGGGCCATCTCCACGCCCGGAGGGGCGCAGCTCCCGAGCTCAGGGCGGGATGACAAAGCGACTTGTCCCCGGATCGAGGCCTTCCCATCCCCAGGGCTCGGCTGCCGGGCTCAGCTGAAGCCTTTGTTTTGTCAGAGGCAGAAGCGAGCCCAACGAGGAGATTATATGGAAAGAACGGTGCACTCACACTCCTTCAGACGGCCGTCGATCTCCTTGTGCTCCAGCAGCTTCTTGCGGTAGTCCTGAAGCGCCTTATCTCTAGGGTCCGCCATGATGAGAAGCCGTCGCTCATAGGGGATGCCGGGAATGGCCATGGCCGCCTGGGCGGGGAAAGGGGCGGGGCGAGGCAGGGGAAAGCCGGCCTAAAGGGGCGGACTCACGGCCTGCTCCACCTCCTTCCGCTGGGCCCGCCTCCCTACTCGGGTTCTCCTAACTCTATGTCTCAATTCACCTAGAGCGCCAGAGTGTAACAAAAGGAAGCCTCCTCGTACACTGCCCCCTGCTGGCCCATCTGGGTAAATCAGGGTGCTGTTAGCGAGAGACCTAAGTGTCGCTTTCATGGAAACACCAAAGGCTCTGTAATAGATTTGAGAAAGGAGAGGAGCAGGGAATGTTGTAATACCTCTAACAGGTCCCATGGCTTATGGGTGTAACACAGATGGCATTTTGGTATAACACCTGCAGGTACAGAGGAAGGAGGCCGTTTCAGCCAATAAATGAGGTAGGGATTTGCTTGTGGGAGAAGTAAGAATAATCATTTCAAAAAGTAATAAATACTATCATGGGAATAAAACATAGTGCTATTATAGACGAGTGTGGAGAATTAACTTAGAGCAGGTATCTGAGATGGAAAGGCGCCAGCCATGCAACAAACTAGAGGAAGATGCTCTGGGTAGAGGAAAGAGCAAGAGCAAGAACTGAAAAGACAAGAGCTTGGCTCACTTCTAGGAAAAGAAGAAGGTCGGTGAGACCAGAATGGGGTGAGGTCGAGATGTGGGTATCAGATAAAGATGCTAACCTCGCTGGGGCAGGAACTTTGAGGTCTTCCGCTAGAACTGCCTCACATAGCTGTGATTCTGGAGACTCTACTTAATTACTCTCCACAGCTTTGTAGAACGAGCAAACTGCACCTATCTAAAAGGTGGCCATTTTAATAAGATAATACTGTGTACCTAGAGATGTTAGCCTAGCATCCAGCCCATAGTAAGCACTCAACAGTGTTCTAAATTGTTATTTCAGAGCTAGAGGAGTAGCTGAGTAGTAAGGCACTTGCATAATACATATGAAGCCCGAGTTTCAATCCTCAGCACCACAAAATAAATAAATAAATGTATACTTCCTATACTTTACAAATAAAGGACAAGTCCATGTGAATTGATGACCAAATGACATAGAACATATGTCTGCAGATTTATTAGGAAAAACATCTGGGTATTGCATGAATAGTCTATTGTATTTTTTCTAAGTGTGACTAGGTCTTGCAGCAGACAATGAAGAAAGGAGATGAATTGGGCAAGAGTAGTCCCTTCTTCCACTAAGTTAGTACTACTACTCGGGTCAAACTAGTCTGTCCAGACTGAAATATGTCACCTCTAACATTAGAGAAGTAAGAAGAGGGGAAGAGCGAGAGGAAAAAGGTCAGTTTGGTTCAATTCAACAAATATGTATGAACAGATGCTAGTATATTATTGTAACATTCTCACCAATATTTTAAATTCCTTTGGCTCTTATTGTTGTTCTCATACCTTCCATAGCAAAATTCTAATTTGCATTGAATTTTCTATATGCCTTATAGCTCCACTTAACCCTGTTTTTTGTTCATTTTTGAGACAGGGTCTTGCTATGGAGTTCAGTCTGGACTTGTAGCCCAGGCCAACCTCAAACTCATTATGATCCTCCTGCTTCAGGCTCCCGAATGCTGGGATTACAGGGCTGTGCCCCACATCTGGTTCCCATTTACTTTTTTATGTGCTCTTAGGAGACATTCTTCTTTATTAGAAAAATGTACCTCAGTTTGTAATTGTGTTCATAAATGTGATTAAATAATATTTAGTATCTTTTCATCCCAGTAGACTAAGCTTAGAAAATTATTCAAGGACTATGACTGCTGTTCATGATTGTATCCTGACACTGGGGCTGAGGATTTAGCTCAGCGGCATAAGCACCTGCCTGGCAAGTATAAGGTCTGATCAATCTCTGGTACCAAAAACAAACAAACAAAAAAAGTTGTCATGTATGCTGATGCTACTGTAGCATAATGTCTGAAAATGGTATATATATATTTTCTATTTTGAGTGTGTATTTTGTGTATAAAATATATAACGTGTCAAACACTCTTGTCAGTAAGCAGAGACAAAAAAAAGACTAAAATATGCTATCAGAAGAGAAGAAACATAAGAAGGTAGGGCAATCTTAGTTTATTTTGTGACTATTAAAGATAACATCATAACAAGAGTAATGAGACATTTAGACTTTTGTAAGTCATGTAGAGTCACCTAAACTACTCATCTCTAAATTAGCTCTGATTGCTTTGGTCGTTTTAGATTATGCACACAAATTTGCTACACAAATGTTTTCACTAGTTTCCATGTTAAGAAACAAAGACTGCTTGCTCTCCTGGGATTAATGATGGGTCCTTGATACATATGCAACTACTGATACTAGGTTGTAAAAAGTTGTCCTTCTTACTGGCCCTCTGGGGGTAGCTAGCTCCTATACCAAGAGGATACACCAGCAAATGTGTGGAAAAGCCCATATGGCAAGAAGTGCAGTCCAGAGTGGAGGCCTCCTGTCAGCAGGCATGAGAGTGAGCTGTCCTCCGTGGAGACCTTCAGCCCGGGGTGACTTCCAGTGACTGCAGTCCTAATCTCTGTTGCAAACATTACACTGAGACAGAGTCATACTACCCAGCTCAGCAGCTCCTAAATTGCAGGCACATGACCATTGTGAGGTGATCGGTGTTTATTGTTTTAAGCCACTAAATTTTGGAATAATTTGTTACACAGTGATAGATAAGACAGTAGGAAATGATACTGTTCCAGAAAGAAATTGAAAAGTACTAGCAGAAAGGCAAGTAGCAATGACTTTTGCTCACATATCAGCAATGGTCTTTGAGGTTTCTTGTTGTTTTATTTATTTAAGACAAAGTCTCCCTATGTTGCTCAGGTTAGTCTCAAAACCCAAGGATTCTCCCACCTCAGTCTCACAAAATAGCTGGGAGCAGACTCTGATTACACCTCAGAGCATATAACTCTCACCTTTTTGCCAAAGAAGCTAGGAGTAGCTGGGAATATAGACACATGCACCACCATTGCCAGCATACCCTAAAGTTTTAAAGAATTTTTTGTTCCACATATTGTTTATTCCCCCAAATACTTACCAGAATGCACCTTAATCAGATGTGTCTATGGGTAAGTAGTAAATGTAGAGGTAGAAATAGAAATTTTGTGCTGTGGTTCATGCCTCCAAGACCAGCATTTGAGAGGCTGAGGTAGGTGGATTCCTGCAATCCCAGCACTCAAGAGGCTGAGGCAGGAGGATCACCACCACATGTTTGAGGCCACCCCAGGGTGCACAGTGAGTTCAAGGCCAGCCTGGGCTGCATAGTGAGTTCAAGGCCAGCTATGGGTACATAGCAAGTTTATGGCCAGCCTGAACTACGTAGCAACACCCTGTCTCTATAATTAAAACAAAGCAAAACAAAAAAACAAAACACAAAATCTTTAAAGAAATAGGAATACTTGAATTCCTAGGTTTCTGGAAAATTCTCCTAATTAAAATAATATACAAATATGGCTTTAAAAACGCTATGAAGGGGCTAGAGATACAGCTCAGCAGCATAATCACCTGCCTGGTAAGTGCAAGGTTCTGAGTTTGATTCCTAGTATTCCCCCCCCCCCCCGCAAATACTACAAAGGTTAGGTTCAAAAAGAAGAATTTACAACCCTACTCTAGTCCTGAGTCCCATTTCCTCTTTTTAAAAACATATTTCTTCTATATTTATTCCCATAGTTCTAAATAATATGCTCGTGCTACTATCTTGATTTTATTTTTTAGGATTCCAGTCAAGTAGATAAAGATTGACCACCTTCCTATCACTCTGGAGTCAGTTTCTCTCCTTCCACTCTCCATACATACACTATGCACAAGTTTTGATTATATTACTGCCCAATATTAGCTTCATTGTGGTGCCTAGTATATAAAGGAACAGACTGTAGTAATATTTACTTTATTGTAAATCTCAAACTTTTTAGGATAAAAAGTTGCCTCCTCTTTAAAAATGTGCTCGTGGTGTCTTGTTTAGTCGTTGAGTGTCGATGTCTTTCCCGGCCGGCAGGAAGGACACACGACAAAGTCTGGCAGTGGACAACCTTTTCTTTTATTTTCTCTCCGTACAGCCTGCCCTGGGATCGCTCCCAGCCGAAGCCTCCTCTGGTCCGCTCCCCGCGGCTCCTTCCGTGCTTCGCTCCGAAGCCTCTACCGGTCCGCTCTCCGCGGCTCCTTCCGGGCTTCTACTTCCCCCCAGGGGTGGCACCAGTATATATACGGATACAGTGTCCAATCATATTAAAGTAAGCAAGGCAAGCTGATTGGCTAACATATTATTGAGCGGGTTGTTTACGCGGTAAGCAGGAAACTAACGTGCTCGATGGGAGGGGTAATCTAACTCAGGCTTTGCTCTTTACCACAGACCGCATGATCGCTATATGCGGCGGCTCGGCAATGTGGTGGCTCCCAACAGTTGAGACTTCCCAACTTTTCAATATACAGCAAAACCTTGAATAGCAAGTAGTTTGTTCTATGAGTGTTCCACAGACCGAGCAAATGTATGTTACAATGTGAGTAGGACGTGATGCTGACTGACCGTGGAGCCAACAGAGGGCGGCGACTCCACTAGTGATAGTGGCAGTCCTGCTACACGATGACCCTCCCCTCTTGTCTCCTTCACACCAGCCACGAAGGTTTTCAAAGGTAAGTGCAGGTTTGTTTATTTTCTTTATCATTTGTATTACATTACAGTATTGTAATCATTTTCACAGGAATATTTTTGGCTGTGGGTCATCTGAGTTTCCATTATTTCTGAAGGGTAAATTCACTAGATATACAAGTGCTTTGGATGACCAGGATGTTTCCAGAATAAATTATGCTTGCAAACCAAGGTTGTACTGTAATGGTAACCTGTGCATGTTGCTTTTCTGGAAGTCCCTGCCTGGGGGCCGCCATGTTTTGCTCTCCTGTGGCCCAACTCTCCTGCAGTTTCCCTTCAAGTATGCTGTCTTTCCTTTCCTCACACCCTATGTTCCTCTTTTTTTTTTTTTTTTTTTTTTTGGTTTACTCCTTTGTTCAGTTTCTTCGCATCCCTTTAGTAGTTTTCTGA